TGAGGTCTTTTTTCTTTAATCGCTTCTCTTAAATGACGCAGAGTGGTTGCGTAAGATGCTTCGTTTATAGTTTCACCTTTTTTCGTGCACTCAATCAATAAAATTCCCTTTGAGTCCCAAAACACTGTGGCCATGATTTTCTGACCGATGGAGTGACTTTGAATTTCTTCGGAGGGTCAGCACCTTTTTTATGCCATTGCATGGACTCCTGCTTACTTTCAGGGTCATAGTGATGAACCCAAGTTTCATCTCCAGCAACAATCCAGTCGAAAATACTCGATGGATCTTCACCACAGAGCTCTAAAAACTCCTTACAGCACTCGACCTGCACTTGTTTCTGAGGCGCCATGAACATTCACGGCACCCATCTTGCATGGACCTTTGAAAGGTTAAGATGGTCATGAAAATAGTAAATATGGTACCAACAGATAGGTTTGTCATCTCTGCTAACATTTTGATTTTTATTCGGGCATCTTCCAATACAAGTTTCTCAATTTTTTTCCATTTTCTTTCGTAGTGGCAGTAACCGGCCTGCCCAAGCGAGGGTCGTCCTCAATGCTTTCTCTGCCCCTTTTAAATTCACTTGACCACTTTTGAACAGTAGATATTGAAGGTACAGAGTCCTGGTAAACGGCCACCATTTCTTTGTGAATGATTTTTTTTTTACTTTTTCCTTGTTTTGTAAGGAACTTAATCATAGCGCGGTGCTCGATTTTCTTCAACATTGTCACGTCAGTCACTATGTTCGTCTTTCACTGAAGATTACTAGGGAACTAATGATCACACTTACTTGAAATTTTGCCTGTATACCCTCAGATAGTGTCATTAGCTAATGAAATAATTAAATTACCCACATCAATAGCAAATCAACCCGATACCGAGAATACACTGAATGCCCCTCATAGCACTTGCACTGCCTAATCTGGGTTTGATGAAATAGAAGAACTAAGTTGGATTCAACTGTATACTGATGAACTCATTTGGCAGTTCCATGCACATGTTAAATAGGACAGGGCACAAGACAGAACTCTGTGGAATCCTGAAGCACAAATGTCACAGTTTGAGCAGATATTTCCTGGCACTACTGTCTGGAAATGTCCACCAAAGTATAAGCCAAAAAGGGAGGCCTCTCCATAAGGATACTGTGGTCAATTACATCAAAAGTCATTAAGTCCAGGAGAATGAAAGGGCCTTTACTTCATCCCGAACAAAGTTCATCCCACAAAGCAACAAGGGCAATTTCAGTGTTCAACCCAGGCCTAGATAAGTAATGGATGCAGAAAATTACCTTCAGCCAAGTGTACTTTGAGTCAGTTGGCAACCATTCACTCAAGTATTTTGGCCAGGTAACTTTTGTTAGCTAACAGTCTGTATCTAGACAAATCTTCTGGGTCCAAAATAGTCCTCACACCCCTGGAGGAGCTACCATACTATTGCCCCTTCTCTTAATGAGGAATTACCTACTGAACCCAACTGGTCACCTATCCCACACTACATGTAATAAACAAGAAGCAAGTATTTTAATTTTAGCTAGACTTAGTTGAGGAACGTATTAAAACTCCCAGGTCCTACAAACTGAAAGTCATCGAAAAATGCAAGTTCAAACTCTGCACTAGATAATTTCACAGACTAATTTGCATTAAGTGTTATATGTCCAATTGCCTTTCAACAAAAGATACTCAATAGCTTTAATAAAGAATTAAACAAAGAAAGATACTGGGAGTCTTACAGAAAGGATCATCATGGCTTCACCATTTTCAGAAACTGCACATCTCTTGTTTTTCTTTAAGTCTTATTATGTAATTTGTAAACATCATTTGGGGATAGTAATGACTGGGGCTGCAATTGCCAAATACCTTGTCTGAAACATTTTATTCATAATTATAAAATTATAAACTAAAACCATGCAATATTTTAGGAAAAATAGCCTTGAGGATAAAAAACACTCTACTTTTCTTCTCATTTTTCTGTCTTTTTCTTTTTCCTTTGACACCAGTTTAACTAAACCATGCCTTCCCAAGTTATCCCTACTTCAACTGGCTCCTCTCTTACGTACTGTCTGGAAATAATACTTTTGGCCAGTATCTCAGAAATAATTTAGGACTTACTGGCAGGCTATCACTAAAATAATGTGCTCAGCTCAACTCTAGGAAAGATGCTATAGCTAATCTATTAAAAGTCAGGGAATTCACCACTATGGAAAAAACAAGAAGTTATATTGAGCTGGAATTCACATATAAACCTTTTTGATGAAAATGGCACTTTTTCATGAAAACATTATGAACTGAACCAAGGTATGATTATCAGGATTCTGTATTCACTGTAAGTCACTATAAGGAGCCTTGCTAAAAAATGAGATTTAAATCTACTATAACTAAATACATGTGGTGGACAATTCTGAGAAAAAAGTTCGCTTATTCTAACTACAAGACAACTGGAAACTATGAATACTCTTACACATTTGTATAATTGTCAGACTACACTTACTACAAAGTAAGTTCACCTAAACCAGTGGTGAACAGATTGAAAGCTTCAGCTTCTCTGCACTGCCAGAACCAACTGGTAGCCAGATGTATGCCCTATGGCAAAACTAATGTTAACACTGCAGCTGTAACAGCTACAAGCCTACACCTGGTTCACCACCACGAGTTGATTCTGCTGTGTGTCTTGTTTCCTTCCATGACCATGGTCAATAGCACATTGCAACTGGCATGCATGAAGAACAAATGAAGGAAAGCATTTATGACACATTTACAAGCCTCTCTTCCTTGTCTTAGCCAAAATAAGTGAAGCACTTCTATACTAGAAGATGCCAGAAATGTGCAGGATATACATGAAAATGCTGCTGCTTTCTAGTCAACATATGAGGTAAGAGGGTTGTAGGTACATAAATTTTACCAGAGACAAGTGCATTTTAGGACGATCCACATGCTGGTAGTAATGGGGTAGGACAGCTTAACATACATGTTAAAATATCTTAATTTACAAAACAAAGATAGCTGCACCAGTATCTGTAGTTTCCAAGGATAGTCAGGAGTTCTAAGCAGTATTTGGAAGTTCTGAATAAATCAATTACACTTGATGAAGAGAAGATCATTAAAATGCTGCATGAATTATCAAAATTAGTACAGCAGTCTTTTTTGCAGTTTATCTTGGTATTTATAATTTTTAATCCCCTTAGATAATTTTGTATCTTAATGTCCTCTTAATTTTATGTTGTCTGTCTAAACTATTCAGAATAAAAGAGACTATTCATCTAAACAAAGTGATAACTTAATATTACCTAAAACAAATAAACAAAAATATTTTGAAAATATTCCAAAAAAAACAAGATAAGGAATACAAGCATATACATACCCAATTTGCAGTTACTATAAGACTAGGTTGAGTAAACATGTTTAGGAATGCACTGTGAAATATTAAAGATAGCAAAAAGTAGTCAAGAAGTGCAGAGCAGATTTCTAGCTAGCCATCTTGTAATTTGATCAATTATGTTGTTTCTCAAAATGAAAAAAGCACACCAAGATGCAAAATAAAAGCACTTCTATTTCTTTCCCAGCTACTGAAGAGCTAAATAGGGCAAAGGTTATACCTCATTGGAGATAGCTGTGGTTTTTACACTCTTAAAAACAGACACAACCTTCAATCCTAGGCATATTGGCCGAGAAGCGAATTCTAGTGACTTCAGTGTAATTTAATCCCTTGCACTCTCACTGTGGGCTTTACTTTTTACTTAATCCTGTTTGAAACTTCCAAGGCAGGTTGTGATTTATATCCAAAAAGGAAAGTGAAGAGCAGTAAAGCCATTCATCTGTCCCCTCCATCCCACCTATCTCCAGCTCCAAATTAAGAGTGTCATTCTAAAGAACATTTGAAAGACTAGATTCTACAGGAAATACTACTGCCATCCTGGGCATGTTTAGACAGAAAACGTCTTACAACTTCTAGTATTTCCCAGCCGGACCCTATCAAGTTGTAGGCCTTCATGCATAGGAATGCAACCTAATTATACTTGGTGATCACAATTTTAAGATACCCATTTTCTTTCACACACTTCCATTTCCCTGACTTGGAATATCAGTAAGTCTACACTTCATGTGGCAAATGCACTGATGTTTCCTGCAATAAAAGCTCATGACATACTTATCTCAGGAAAGCACAACTTCCTAACATGTTAACTCCTGACAATACCGCCAGGTTCATGCTTAATGATGAAAAGGAATAAAGTTGGCTTTACTACAGGAACTCTACTTGGGGCTTCTGCAATCACTACATTAACTATATGAAGTGAACAACCTGAGGTTCAACTCTTCTTCTTCAGAAAATAGTATTATGTCCCATGAGGATTTTGCAGTAGTAAGTAGCAAAATATTTCCTCTCCACAACATCAAGGAAGGTTGTGTGGACTGGAAACTAGAGGTCACAAAGACAAAAATACTATTTTCTGTATAGTGTGACATTTGCCAAAAATATTAACTGCAACAGAGTTGCAACAGAGTATGTTGTACAGTCCCAACCCAACAAGCACTTTCCATTCTAATAGTTTCCTTAATTCTGCCTGCACACGTGAATATTATCAACATCCATCTTTCAGCCCTGCTTATGAAGAATAATATACTAAAATTAGTTTGCTTATAACAACTTTCTCCAACCTAGTGCCCTCCCAGTTATTTGGACTGGGATTCAAGCACTACAACTGCTATCAATTGGTCATGCTGGCTGATGGGAGACAAAGTTCAAAGTATCTGGAGGAAACTGGGCTGGTCTACGCTGTCTTTCTCAAGCAGGGACAGAATGGTTGTGCTTCCTGAACTAAACCTGGGAAAGAGCAGCAGCGGGTACGGCAGTCTTAGGAGCCAAGGAAGGCGAGAAAGCCAGTCAGGCGCCAACTGGGTTTAGGGGCGGGGCGGGGCGCTTTCTTGCTTCCTCTGAAGGGCGCTCGAGGCTCTCCACCATCACTTGTCGCCACCGGCGTTGCCGGAAAGACTGTCAAGGCTCACCGTTCGAAACGTCCCCAAGAAGAGCTCCTTGGCAAAGGCAGGCCGAGGGCGGCCGGTGCGAAGCTGCCGGGCCCCAGCGGGGAGAGCGGCTCGCAGCACGCGGAAGAGACACCCCAACCCGCTCATGCCTGCCCCTCGCTTGTCTTGCCCCGGTTAGGGAGGCGGTGGGCGCACATCGGTGACGTAACTGCAGGTCGCCAACGGCGCAGCTCGACATGTTCCATCCATAGACTCATAAAATAGACTCACACGCTAGACTTAGCTTCCGGGTTGACTCCGTACTCTATGGTCCCGGGGGTGGAAATGAAAGTGCCTTACAGAGAAACCAGTAAAGATTTTAGCAAATCCCCCTCCCTCTGCCAAAGCTGAGAACTCCTACTCTAACTCACACTTTTCTCTTCCTATGAAAGCTAAGCAGTGAAATGCGCGGTATGTTTATATGTAAGTCACTGCAGAACAAAGTTTCTGCATTGTATTTCAGAATGGAGTTCGGCTGAGGGAAGATAATTTACTTTTGCTCCTGCTGCTTGCAGTCCAAGGGTTGTTTTCGACCAGCTCCACCTCTTATCCCCAACGCTAGCTGACCACATTGCAGAACTGTCAGTCACTGTTAGCCGTCTAACTGCAAACTCGGGATAATGGACGAACAATATTAGCTTCGAAGAGGCGTGTTAAAAATTAATCAATAACTCATACTTTCCAAAAAAAGAAGACCTGCATTAAAAGCAGTGTTCCCACCTATTGGTTTCGGTCAGATATGCTAAAATCTTAGATTTGTCCACTCTGTTCAATGAGCAGTTCTCACCTCAGTCAGAAAAAGGGGGAGGGGAGTAATTAGCAAAAAAAAACTACCAAAGGTACAAAGCCATTGGAAGAACAGAACCAGGAGTTCGCCGACGCCGGTACCGTGCTTCCTACAAAAGGGCTTGTGCCGGTAGCATTTGCCGAACTGAAGAGCGGGTTAGGGCGCCATCCTGGGCTGCTGCAGAAGAAAAAAGTCTGCAACTCTTCGGGGCACGCTTGCTTACTGGCTTGCTGGGGCATGTTGGACCTTCTTTCGTCTAAAGATGCATAGGCTTGTACCCTTCAGGAGTCACAGGGGAGCGGAACAAGCGGTGGGCTAAACTGCCCAGCACTGAAAAGAGCAGCAGCGAGTTGGAGAGCGGCTTTTAACGCATAAGTGTTAAGAAAGTGCCCCACCCCGTGCCTGGCCGCAGACAACAGCCAACGTGACGACATTGTGTAAAAGCAGGACGGGAACGTGCAGGGAAGGCCGGCTTCTTTGCTCATTTCCCCTGTGCCATTTCCCAAATGATGCCCTCGACGAAGCAGTGCCTTCAAATCCTCGGGTGCGTCCCAAGGGCTGGTTCCGAGCGCCTCCAGTCACGCAGGGATATCACTCGGGGATGCCTCGGGGCGGTCCCCTTGCTTCATGGAGGTTTGCCGCTCTCCCACGATTTCTTTTGTCTTCTGTTCCCACCAGACAAAATCTAGGTACCCTTTGCGATGTTCGGGGGTGCGGGGAGAAAAGGCAGAGATGGCTGCAAGTTGAATCCATAAGTGGCTGCACAGTAATAGCCCTTTCAGGAAGCAGTCTTTGTGCAGCTATTCCATCTTTACCTTCTTAGTATTATTACATCGCCTTTATGCCCTGCCCTTTTTCCTCCTGCGAGGAACTCAAGGCAGCTTACATAGTTTCTACTACTTTCTTTCCTCACTGGAAGAACCTTATGAGGAAAGTTGGGCTGAAAGTCTGTGACTGGCCCAAAGTTATTCTGTGGGCTTCATGGCTGAGTAGGCTGTAGAAACTGGTGCTCCCACACTGCAGGCAATGCTCTGTCCACCACACCAGCTGTTTAGCAGATTCTTTGCAGTAAGGAAAAAAGATGGAAACAGTGGTGGGAAAATACAGGTCCAAACAGAAGATAAGACATTTGCTGGACTGCACTGTGAATGAATGAGGCAGGGTGACTGCCCAATAAAAGAAACTATTGGAAACTTTGTTGATGCAAAACAGTGAGAAAGAGAACTTTGAGAACAGTGCAACTTCTAGTCAGTAACTGGGATCTTTAAAAAAAAAGTCATTGTCACATGCTGTCAATTTGTCTCTGACTTAAGGCAACCTTATGAATGTACACCCTCCAAAATATCTTATCCGTGACATACCTGCTCAGTTCTTGCAAATTCAAGGCTGTGGCCTTCTTTATGGAGTTATTCCATCTTCTGTTTAGCCTTTTCATTTTGTCTTCTGCCTTCTACTTCCCATGACATGTTTGTCTTCACCAGTGAGTCTCACTTTCTCACAATTTGTCATTTTTGCTTCTAGATTTGATTTGTTCTGACACTTGTCTTTCTGTCAGTCCAAGTATTTGCAAAGCTCTTCCCCAGCACCATCTTTTGAAGACATCAATTTTCTTCCTGTCAGCTGTCTACACTGTCCAGCTTTCACACTCATGCATTGTGATTAGGAATAGTATGGCTTATCTTTGCCTGAGTCTTCAATGAATCTTCCTTACACTAAATACAATATAAAGATTTATGTGCCACTTTTTGATTTAAATGTTCCAAAGGTAGTTTACCAGAGATGATCTTGTAAGATTATTAAGGAACTAAAGAAATACAGGGAAATGTGATGTCAAAGTGTACTTTTAATTATCATATATTTATGTCATTTCTGACTATATGGGACCTGAGATTGTCCAATACACGTAATTTCATCTCCCCACAAGTCTGCTAAAAGGGGGCAAAGATGTACTGCCAGGAATGATGGAGGCAGGGTTGGCCTTTCCATGGCTGGCTCCATGGCAGTGCCACGTAGGAATTCCTATGGAACTGTAGGAATGGCTCCTCCTGTTCACCTTGCCTGTTCCTTCTGCCTTATGTATCATGCCTTCTAGATAGCAATCAGGTTCCTCCAGATGTTATTGGACAACTCCTTCAGCCCCAGCCAGCGTAACCAGTGGAGAAGGCATGTGAGAGTCACAGAGCAGCATTTGGAGGGGCACAGGTTGTTCACTCTTAGTCTACACTTAAATTTGTCTGCATGCAGTGCCTAAAGCTAGTCATAGAATACATGCATAGGTGTGCATATGCATTCATCTATCAAATCCTAGTTTTGCCAGTGTATTTTAAATATACATATTTTTTGATATACTTATATCTCACTTTTTTCCTTAAGGAATTCAAGGCAGCTTACATAATTTTCCTCCTCTCAATTTGATCCTCACAACAATCACCCTGTGAAGCAGGTTAGGCTGAAAGGCTGTGACTGACTCAAAGTTACCCAGTGAGCTCCACGGCTGAGTGATGACTAGAACATGGTCCATAGTGAATATTGACGAACATTGGCAATTTTGCATGGCAGGTATGAACTGTAATCCATGTTTTAAAACAGTTTTCAAGATTAACAGTTCTTTCTTGAATTACAAGATTAGCTCAAATCTCTGGAAAGAAAAGGTGTGTATATCCATAGTTCTCCCCTTTAAAAAAAACCTGCATTGACAGAGGAGGAGAAAAAGTAAAGTAAATGTTTACAAAACCTCCCCTATTTTTGAAAAAGACTGGATTGGAGTTCAGGCTGAAATTGTTAGTCTCCAGTGGATGTTAGAGAGTTTGGGGAAAAAAGACCTATTTTCAGGAAATGAAATGTCACTGCAGCTGATGTAATTATAAGCAGACTAATATTTTCCAGATAAACAGCCAAATCAGCCTATATTATTTAACAGAATGTTCAACACTTCAAGGATTGATTTTTTCCCACAGGTATAAATAGTGCACTGCAAATGTGCACAGTGCTGAGCCCTTTTCATGTAAGCAACAAGGACTTGTTAATATAAGCCAAATAGTTGAACCATTGCAGAGATGCAGTTATCCTGGTTCTGTGAACACAACATATTTATCAGTTTCTGTAAGGCTGGAGCACTTATTTTCTGCTCTTCTTCTAAGAACCCCCTTTGCCATGGGATGTGAGAATCACTCAGAGGCTCCTTTGAAAATGGAGTCACAACATAGACCAGAAGAAAAACATTCAGCAAAGCTATCAGTCCCACTCAGGAACCATTATTCCAGCTTCTGTAATTTGTACATTCTTTCTGCCTTAAAAGCTTTCTCTTGACCTAGTGACAGGTTTCTTAGTTCTCTTGCAGCACTTACATGGTGCAGCACTTATATTGGGGATCCTTCCAATACCAGTCCAGCATCTTCTGCCATGCCTCACAGAGTAGGAAAGCAATGGTTTTTCTGCTAACAAACCCACAGCAGTTCAAATGGTGCTCCAAAAATATGGCAAGCTTATTGAGTGTTTGGCATCAACAACAAAAAAGGAGGTTTGATGACTAGATTTATTTAAGGCATTCAAAATTAACTACAATTTCTCTTGGAGGTACTATTCATTTCCTGTCAAAATAGCAGACGTGGGTCATAATTCTTTTCTCTGTTTCTTGTCTAACAACACAATAGTCTGCTGCACAGTTTATTTTAGACTTATCTTATTATAGGCAGATACAGATGTTAATGCATTTCAATTAAACTGTAAACCAAATGCTACAATATAGTATCTCATAGTAAATGTAAAGGGATATTGTGACTGAATTTATTTTTTAAATACAAGCACATAACTTCTTATAGCTTATCTAGCTAGCTCAATTTTAGCTACAGAACTAGATCATTTTCTGTTCTGAACTTGCCACTGTGCACAGCCAACAATAAAAATACTGCATTAACTTGTTTTTGTTTGGATTCATCCACCACTTCCTAAGACACATTTGTGATCTGTATAAGACTTAAAGTAGACTCAATGCCAAAAGCTTGTATATTGCTCCCCAAATACCCAAGGTAATTTCATCCCTTCCTGTTGTGTCTCCTGACACTTGCAATATATTGGCTTCCAGGAGAAAATTCTTGATCACCCTCTCTTTTTGTATTCCTGTCAGGCAATAAAAATTCTGGTATCAATTATTCCCCATTGCTGTTCATAGGATTAGCTTTGTTTCACCCTGTTTGATGCTTGCATTGGATGTGTTTTGTTATCTAAGCCAATTAGTTGGACCATATTTTTAAGCTTATAAACTATGGGTTGCATAAAACTATGACAGGTAGTTTTGGTTCTCTTCCAATGCACATTCTTTTGATAGACTTCTTTCTTGCTCTGGACATTAGAAAAGTCCAGCAAATTGTATCTGTGACATATTCTAGATGCTCTCAACAGTATACTATTCCCAGGGAGGTATTTAAGACTTCAATAGCCCTTTATTTCATTTTAAGAAAGCAAAGAGTGCTGTTATCTTCTTCTGGAAACCATATGCTATTGTCCTCTTGTATCTTAAAAACACAACTGCAGTGGTCTGTGTCCATCTCAGCAGCTTGTTCAGTCCATAGGCTGTAAACCAGTCAGATCGCATCATGTATTTCATAAAGAAATAAAGGCTGTTTTGATACCAAGTCCATATACGAGGGTGTCAATGAAAACAGATATGGATCTCAGTCTTCCACTATCTGATATGAACCAAAGGTGATACTAGCGATTTGACTGAGTGGGGTACTTGGTAATTGGGAAATATATAAACATTTCTCTGTGCTCATCATTTCTACCAAAAATAGGTCCCATGCATTCTAAGCCCTTGGCTGGGTTTTCCAGCCTAGACATACCCATGTCCATACCAAATCTGAGACTTGACCTGTACAGACCAATGCAGTACTATTTGCTGCTGTCTCTTCTTATGTTTCTTCTTAAAACAACACAAAATGAGATTTCCAAGAACTAAAGTGGCATAGTAATTTTATTCATTTAATATGAAAAATATTAGTGTTTGCAGTTTTACAAAGGATGAGAAACTGAGTGAGTTCAAAGTGATTTATTTGATATCCCACATAATCACAGTTATAGTTTTACAACGATAAGGTCTGATACTACTTACAAACAATGCATATTAAAATGAAAGCACTCCTTCCTTCTGAACAGTTACAAAATGGGTCTTGAGCCTCCCATAACAGAAGCTTCTCAAGGGCATGATGTTTCTTTAAGTCTTTTAACAGAATGCATTCAAGACCTAATTCTAATAGTTTAATACAACTCAGAGCTGGGATTAAAGTTCCTAGCAGGAGACAGGTACTGTATGCAACCTGAAAGTGACTGCAGACTTATATTAATACTAATTTACACACTATATACAATTTAGAGAATTAGCTATTCCGCTACTTGGTCCGGTTTCCACTACCCTTTCCCTCCCTCAGAACTTTATTTTATTATTGGTCATTCTTTTGCCTTTTAACTATATACACAGTTACTCTTTTTGCAGGCAAGATGTGATGGTATTTTACAACGGAAATGGCAAAATACATGCTTAATTGCAAAAACGCACAGCTTTATATGGAACAGCAAGTCAACATGTAGAGAGTCATTGTTTAAATAGCTGCTGACTGTCTTTCAGCTCATTTTAAAATCAAGAAACAAGAGGCTTCTGCTGCATGCAGTGCTGGATGGGAAAATCATTCTACAATGTTATGCCTGAAGACTTCTTTTTAGCAATACAAGACATGTACATTATATTAGGATTACTTTGTGTGTGTTTTTACATTGTTGTACAATTCATTCTTAACTTAAAAGGATTAAAACAAATACATATTTAACTGTTGTCCCAGAAAAGATATTTTCACAAGGTTTTACTCTTTCCTATAAGTTCTGTAGATTGTTGCTTTTGCCTAGCCATATTCTTCCTTGTGGGAAGGAAGACATATGGTTCCATAGTGTGTTGTTTTGCTTTTTAATCAAAAAGGATAATCTAATAAAAGTTTTCCAATAACCCTTTCCTTTAAGGTATGCCTTTTTTCCCCTCTAACAGCACATAGAAGCTAAAAATGTTTACTGTACTTTTTCCAGTCTAGGAGAAACAGACTGAGTTCTTTGGTTTAAAAGGTATTCTGGCACCACAGAGAGCTCCACTAAAGAGCAGTGAAGTCTAGAAATCTAATGCATGTAACAGTACATATTTATGGAACGTACTTAGAGGAAGAATGAGTTTTTCCAGTATTTATTGAAACATACATATGATCCCAATGCATTCACTGTACTTATATGTTTCATATGCATCTGATAAGATTCAGCATGCCTTGCTAAATGTTTATAAACCTAAAAGTTTAAATCCTTTCACGAGTTCCCTAAGATATCCAAATAGCCAGTAAAAATTCATGGGCAAAACAGATTTAAAATATTTTTAGAAATGGCAGATACTGAAACAATGTGACTGTCCAAAGCATATTTTCTGAGCTTGGTTTATACAGAACACACAATGTGCAAAATAAAGGAAAAAATGCCCACCATCTCTATCTTATCTTTTCTGGAACAACTTATAAATTAGACTCTACTATTGGTACAAAGGTCTGAAGAAAAGCCTACATATTTAAATATGTTATCACTTTACTTCAACTAATATCAACAGTAACACTGATATATTTTTTTTCAAATATACACTATGTAAAGTGTAGTCTCAACACTATTAACATTAGATGACATGCAGACAGTTCTATTATTCCTTATAAGAACAAAAATATTCAACTGCAAGGAACAGCGCCTCAGGAGGCTGAGATGAGCCCTCTTAGGTAATCTGCACTATTTCAGACAGCCTGGATGACCATCAAATGTACTTTATTACTTTCATTTCATATGAAGGTATTTATAAGAAAAAACAAAACAGAAGAAAGGTATTGGTATTGCACCCATAAGAAATAATAGACAACTTTAAACAACTGACTAAATTCTAGGTGGTGGTGTTTGTTTAGTGAAAGTTAATAAAAGTAGTCAGTTTTTAGTTTTGCTGGTAATCATAGTATGATACCTAGCATGAAGGAGAGGGAGAAAAAAAAAGAACCTGGATTGGAGACATTAGGAAAAAACAACTTCTTTTATCTCTTGTACATTCAGAAGCAACAATCATTTTTTTCTATTTTTACCCATCTCTCACTGGAACTTTTTCTTTCTCTTCTTTTAGATCACATTCACAATTCTGTTGGTGCAGTTCTGTGGTTCCTTTTGATTCATTTCTGCCAGTTAGATGTACAGTCCTTGTGATTGAGGTGGTTCAAAATGCTGAAACTACAAAGTATGCTCCATGTATGATTTTTCTTCTTTTTTTAAAAAAAGATAAGATTTAGGGATACAAAATCTCATATGGATTTGCAAATGACTCATTACAACACATAAGCAACAACAGCACGGTTGGATTTTACGAGATGTCTTGCGACTAACTGGACTATGACAGTTTAGCATAGACTCAGCCCGCTGAGTGCTGGGTAAACTAACAAATGTGATGAGAAAAATGGCAAGAAAATCCTGCTGCCAGCACATGGCTACATGGAATTACAGTTATAAAAAATCTATGCTCGATACTAAAATAAGCCTTCAGGTTTCAGATTGCTTTCACAGGGGAAAAAAGTCTGAACTGCAGTCTATTTTAATTGAGATAAACTGACAAACTTATGGTAAAGAGGCAATGTGGCTGAAAGGATGAATGTTTCTTATTTTAAGGTCTGAGATGAATGTTTATGTAGTGTATGCAAGTACCTTCCATTTAAATGTTCGTGTGTGTTTATTAGAACATATGGATATAAAAGAAATGTGGATTGTTTAATTTCACAGTTATCACAGCCTTTTAAAGTGTCTAAGAATTGAAGTAACCAAAATGCAGAGATAACCTATAATAAAGGTTGTCTCATGTTGCTACTGTATAGTTACTGCATCTTAACTAGTTTGCTTACCTGAAATAGCAGAGCAGTTATAATACTGATTAAGTATAGTATCATGTTAATAAAATAAGGATTTGTACAAAGCAATATTTGACTACAACAGCTAAATGCTATGTTACTTGGCACATTTTGCAATGATTGCTTAGAGATTTTTCCTCCCCAAGTTCAGAGAACTTTAAGGAGAACACTGACATGCCTGGAATTTGTTCTAGTTTTTGGTCTACACTTTCATACACTGTTCATCTATTGTACTGCCCTTCTATCAGTAAGTGGAGTTCCTGGTAAAGGATATATTGCTAGCTTTGTGGACTGCAAAAGTTTTGTTCTAAGCATAAATGTTAACTATACAGTATATATATATATATGTATATATTTATATATTTATATTATATAAAGTTTACTTACGTACTTTCATCAACCATATGAGGTCTACTTTTTTTGCCCATTGACAATTAAGGAGCAAGAATGCGAAACTTGGTTCTATTTCATATTTTTCCATTTATTTTGAGTAGGTTATGTTTTCATTATGCATTAAAAATTGTCATGGGGATGAAAAAAGGTAGCTTAACATTTTCAGCAAGCAGCATATTTTCAAGGCTACTGGAGAAAAAGGAGGGAGAAGGTCACCACTGAGTTCAACTGTAAGACCAGCATCGATCAGGCTAATATGAATTGTTCTAATGAATCCTTAAGGCAAAGGAGCCAATTAAATTGTTTCTGGCTTGGATTTAAGAAAAAAATCCAGTTTTATAGGCTGCCTCTGTTTCCTGTAAGTGCCTTACATCTATGCCTGCAGCTACAATTACTGGCAGGGTGTTCTCATTCTAGACTATTGTGCTGATGCCACTATGTTTGGACTTAGTGCTGGCTGAAGTGGGTGGGGGCACCGGCTGTCCATGGTGATGTGGAGCATGAGGAGCATGCGCCGGATGAGGGGGGGGCAACGGAGGGTGGGGAGCATGGGAATGCTGTGAATGGGAATGTGGCAGGTAAGAGTGCTGGGAATGAGCTACATGCTGGGAATGTGGCACGTGGTGGTACTGATGCGGATGCTGGATGTGTTGGGGTGGGTGATAGTGGTGGTGGTGATGGTAAGGAGGTGGATTCTGCATGTGGCAGTACTGGGAATGGTGGGTATGCACTTGTGCCTGGGTCTGCCCCTCAGCCGGCCCCGTGTGGTGCATGACGGGAGGATGCTGAGAGTGCTGCTGATGCGAAATTATGGGGGGGTGCTGAGGCTGCTGTGATGGGCCAGATGCCAGGTGGCCTTGGGAAGGCTTTCCCCTTTTACTACCAAATAAGGACCCTAGTAGTGAGGAAGAATTAGGCATAGTCTGGTGAGGGCGAGATGGACACTCTCGGGTTGATGTAGCTCTTCGGCGCATATGAGGACTGCTAATGATGGACCCCTAAAAAGAAATTAATAGAAAATAAAAATTAAAAAAATCTTAAAATATGTGTAAAAGAAAAAAATTCACAGTGACCACCATGTCTTCCTTAAAAGCTCATATGGATAAACTACTGTAGGAACTACAGGAAAACTTCTGCCAATTTGTTTCTTCAAGTGGTGCAGTTAAATATGACCCATTTATAAATTTTTTAAAAAAATTATTAAGCAATAAAAAGTAATCACTAAACAGTGATATCAAACTTTTAATTCTGTGTTATACTATTTGTCTTATTAAAAGATTATAGTTATGTGGTTTATTTCCCCCCCTTAAGGACAAATATATATATATATACACACACATTTACATTTAATTAAACTGAAGTAATTAGCACACTATGACTAATCAGGTTTCATGCATAATTTTTTCTCTAACATTAAACCTAAAATAGCCTGTTTCTATTTTGAATTGTAGAAAAGAAGTGTTCTGTCCGTAATAGATTGTATCCTCTTTCAGTAGGTGTTGTGCATTATATGCATCACCTGACCTATGGCCCAGTAATTCTTACTGTTTAGCTTTTACCTATCTATTTAATCTATGGACACTTTTACTTTCTTGACAGACAACTAAGGGAAGACAGCAATGGTGAGGCATCATCGTGTCCTACATGTAGACTGTAGTCTGTTTAATTTGAACTCACATACCAATCACACACACACACACGGACAACTCTGCAGGCTGAATTCAAAGACATGAACAGTATATAAATGGTTTGAAGATGAATGAAATCTCATGAAATCCACATTGAATTCATCCGTCTTATTTGTTTTCACTTCCCATGCCCTATCTACGCAATTCCATGGTGTCATGACTGCATACATTTCACAATTTAACTAGAAAATAAGCAATGTGAATGGCTGAGCATGAAGTCAATAGTTAGGTTAAATATCAAACAGCACGACAGCGTACTGTGTAACAAAGAACCCTTGGGCCTTTAAGCAAGGACCAGACTGAAATGGTGGCAAAAGAGCACATTGTATTCATTTAACCATGCTTGCAGGAACAGAAGGGGACAAGGTTAGCTGAAATTAAAAAAAAAAATGGTGCTTGATCTAAAACAAGCCAGAGATAGTGTTGTGGTTCTTGCTGTTCAAAAAAAAAATGCTAAAAATACAAAGTGAGTAGCCTTGGCATGCATTTAATTTGAGCAGGCAGGTTGTATGTTAGAAGAAAAAGAGCAAAAATGTATATAAAAGAAAGGTTTGAAATGCACATCACATCCAGCTAGACATCAGTAACTTCCTACTTACTTCCATATTGCTGTCTAGCGATCCTGCACTGCTGCGACGCCCACGCTTGCCTGCCCAGGACATGCAATACCACAGATTAGAGACTGAGACAAGGTCTGGGTGATCAATAGCCCCCTTCCCTGATGCATTGCAGATCCACCAGGGGGGTCTGGATATTAATTCTGCACGATGTGATAGCACAGGAACAATAATGGTAGCAGTTAAACGCTTAAAGCGCGATGCTATGAATCAGAAGCAAATCCCAGTATATGCAGCGGGCCTTACTTTCAATAGGTGTACTCCGGACTCCAGCCATAGGTTTCACATACCACTAAAGTCAATAGGGAAATTCCATTTATTTTGCTGATGTTGGATCCAGGCTTAATTCATACTTCGAGTAGACACACTGGCATCAACGAGACTTAAGTTAATATTTATTAAATCTACACTCCTTTGCTTGCAATAGGTCTAGACCAAGTATGACTAAGTAAACCATGGTCCGACTCATAGTTTAGAATGGAACCATCAAATATAAAGCTAAGAGTTTCTTTACATGTCTGTCTTAAATTGTAGTCTGGACGGGAGATACTCATGTTTAGATATCCCTAATGTATATACTATGCATTACTATGCAATATGTATTTACACATTATGGGACAGGATTTTACATCCTATATTTAAATAGGATTTAAACATTAAACTCATTACAGGACTGGGGTTTTTTAAAATTATAATTATATATTTCTCAAATAATATTTTAAAATATTTTAAGCACACTTACAGTCCCAAAAGTATGGGATGAACCTTCTGTACTTTTTCAAAGGTACAATAGTGGATTTCATATAACTTTTTAATGATAAGGAAAGCTAAACTTAATTTTAAAAAGAAAATTTAAATAAATGACATGCTATGGTGAGATTTTGTTTAACTGTGCAGTGCTTAGGCATTTATATATATATATATTTCCAGAAATGTATTCTTTTGGCCTATTTTTCAAAAAGGCAGGAGGCCAAATCCTAGGTGTAGGCCCCTATAACGATAGTTCATATATACAAATAACTCATTTGAACATGAAAACAACAACATGAGTGGCCAAATGTGGAAGAAAGTACTCTAGTTTACAAAGCTGGTTCCTTGGATGTTTATTTTGATAACTTTATAATATAAAATGAGAAAACAGAAAATTAATGTCTTTATTTAATTCTGTACTGAGCAAGGATAAAGGTTTCCTGTCTTACTGGCAACCAAGATGCTACACAATGGTCCAAACATGGTAAAGAAGAATCTCAAGAGAAACTGTGAAGAACATGTGGTCCTCCAGATGTTTCTGAACTTCACTTGCCATTAGTATGGTATATTACAAAGGGAAGAGTGCCACCAGGCTTCCCATACCTGCTTTGTATTACATGAATCACAACCTTAACAAGAGTTTGAAGATCAAAACTGTTTCTGAATGAAGACGGAATGTATTCTGTGCCATCGGGAAAAGTACAAGTAGTGGTGCTGTGCTAGAGGAACAATTTGCACAAGCAGCATCTGATGCCGGCCGGGGGGGGGGGGTCAGTATCATAATTAGAACCCTAACCCAAGCTGCCCCCACTAGGTGCTTTGTGGGACAAATGTCACTCTCCCACTGACATCAACACCTCTTTCATCACAGAAAAGAGACTTGGAAGAACAACTGCTGCTCCCCCTCCTCACCAAATGCCTAGCTTCACACGGTGCATGTTGTGTATGTTGCACAAAGCAACTTTGGGGCACTGGGACGAGCAGCCGTTGCTAACACTTATGTGAGACTGGTGGTAACAGTGGGGACTCCTCCAGGGCGCAGACCTTCTTCAGGCCAGAATAATGAGCTGTGAAGGTAGTGTGCAAGCAGAATCAATTGGATTGGATGCTTGTAGAAGAATAAAATCAGGGTTTCTGCAAATAGGAGGAGGTGTGTGTGAGGAAAATGACACAACTGATGTGACCTACTGTTCTTCAAAGTTACAGTACTTCTTATTTCTCATGTACTTCCCTTAATGTCCCATCATTATGTTTATATCTGTAAAACAAAGCAGCTCTGTGTCAACATCTTTCTATTTTGTACAGGACCTGAGCACTTGCAAGAGCTACAGTGTTTTGTGAAAATGATTTTTCACACTATACTTAATGGCTGTCATAAAACATTCCATACCACACTGAACATTGTTTCATACAGCAAGAAGGTGGTTGTACTTCTCAGGCTCCACATTTAAAGTCCCTCATGAGATGCACGTACAAAACATTTCCTATTCCTGAACCAGCTTATAGGAGAATGACCATTCTTTCTCAGACCAGACCGGATCTCACAGGAAAGCAGATCGCACTAGGCTGAGTAACTTCTACTAGAGTTGGTTCAAAAGCCAGAACAGTTGCCAGGTGCTTCAGAATAGCCCAAAGGAAACTAAGAAAATTGCTCAGGAGTAAATTATTGGGACTTGGGAGCAGGAGGAGGAGATGTTTGGGGGATCCATCTGAATAAACTCTGTTGGGGAGTCTAAATGTTTGGGGAGTCTGAATAAACTCTGAAGCAGGTCTAAAAAGAAGCATCTGCTACTACAGGGTAATTCCCAAAGTGGATTTGGGCATGCTAACCTTGAGGAAGAAGAGCCTGACAAGCACAGGAGTGTCAGGGCTTCTAGGCATCTTGGCATTCCCTTCTAGGAGAAGGGACATTCTCTCACAAATTGATCATTTGCTCTTCAGGTACTGTGTCGCATGTTCACAGTCCAGTCACATTCTTAACTTCCTCTTGCATAAATTTGGCCCTATCTTTCATACTCTGTTTCTAGTAATAGGGAATGATGGGGCCAACCCCATTTCCACATTGAAGAACACAGGTGCCAGGCCACCTCCTGTGAGTTTCCAGTGACTTCATATGATGGAGCCAAGACACTGATTCATAGTTAGTCTAGGAAAAAATGAATAATTATGAACCTAACTGTGGAGGGTAGAAAGGAAGGACGGACGGACAGACACAAGTTTACCATTAGGACCTGAGGCTATGTGCACTTGGCAGTAGTCAGTCCCTAAATATAGGCATCTGATGGAGATAAAAGATTTTTAGCATTTTCGCCTTCAGGAAGAAAGTGCTACCTTCTTCAACAACCCTGTACAGATGTGAACTGAGCCACATAATTTTTCTTGTGCTTGTTTTCATTCTAATAAATTTGGTGGTTGCTATTATTGTTCCTATAAGCTAACCAAAAATGTTAAAGGATAATACAATGCTCCTATTTGCAATAGTTAAGGAAAGTAGTGAAAAAAAGTCAATGTGTAGTACAGAAGGTCTAACTTAAAGGAATAAGGGCAAACCTATTCCTCATTTTAAATAAGGCTGCAATAGATGCCATAATAGCAAACAATTATGTATAGAGAGATGTTTAAAATCCAAAACAATACTTTGAACAGTAAGACCTTCATATGATGGCTAGCAAGTGCTACACTCTAAAGAGTCATTTAAATTATCAATTTAAAGGATAATGATCAATGAATATTTTATGGACATGGGAAACAGTATTCATTTTAGCATAATACTTTGGGTACTGTTAGGCTTGTCACGTTCCAATTTTTAGAGAAAGGAGAAAGAGAGAGAGAACACGTATGTAAATAACTACCCACATACATTATGAAACTGAAACAGAGAAAGAAATAAGTTCACAGAAGCAAATGATGCTAGGTAGTCAGAGACTGAAAGAAACATCAGAATTAAGATTATTTGTGGGGAAGGAACAGTGAAAAACTGGGTCTGTTAAGCTTGCTCTCTTACTTTAACATGCACTTTCAGACTTTTACACTCCTTGTTCATCTTTACTGTTAAGATAAATGTGGGGCCCTGCAACAATAATGCTGCAGTTCAGTATACCTCTATCCATGGTACCTGCCATTCCATTCCATTCTATTTGCTATCCTCCAATTTTCATCCTCAGTGGTTCACCAACATCCTGTGCTAAGAGTTTCTACTCTATATGTATCATCTCTTTTTTTCCAGCCATTATATTCCATCCTGACTATTTCCTCCACTGGTCTTACTGTTACTAGCACTCCTGAACAAAATAATGTATGTAAAACATACTACACCTGTATATAATTATATCTTTATCTTTTATAGACTGTATTTTATTGTTCTTATGTTGCTGTGGGCAAGCTGGTAATTCCCAGGATGATCAGAAAGACTATTTGTTCTTTTTGGCTGGCACAATCATGAAAGTTGCAATCCTGCAGACATCTCCCTTGCTGCTTAGAAGCTTCTTAAATCCCTGTGCTTTGCTGGATTGATGTGGGCTTTCCTCCCTATCCCCCATTCTTCTGAACTGTAACTCGATGGGTATATCTGCCGACCCAGAATGGATGCTTTGGAGGGAGAGAGAAGTTGAAGGAGGCTTGGAATAAAGCACATCCTTGCCTCTCCAGTCTCTCCCTTCCCTGCCTGCTGAAGCGCTCCCTTTTCTTCCTCTTTGATGTCAATGTCCATCCCCAGAGATACAGCTAGTTCTGGAAGGAGAGAAACCATCAGCTACCTTTCCAAGGCTTGAGTGTTCTCTCTCACCCCAGAAGGGGTTTTCCAAGTCATCCTATGATTCCTGGGATGTTCAGGTAGCACCATAGCATTGTTCTCTAAGGCTTCAATCCTTTGATACTTACTTCTCTAAATTTGTAAGTAGCAAATGTGATGCCTAAAGGTATTACTATGCTCAGATTTTCAAAGTATGCACAATTCTAGCCCAACCTGAAATATCTCAAACATGCTGAAAAATGACATGTGAAGGGAGAAGGGTTATCAAGGGAGATTATTGAAGGCTGTAGTATGAAATGCAAAGAAGCAACTTGTGTAAGTCGGTTGGCCTGCCATAACATCAGTTAACTCAGGTTGGTCAAAATGAGCAAGCAACCACAATAGGCTATTTTATTATTGTTGTTATTATTAAAATCTACTTTAACAGTAGGTCCAAGAAATCTAACTTGAATATTTAGAATAATTTGTTTTTGTTCAGAACAAAAACATTCTTGGATAATTAATTTTAAAAAATTCAATACCCAAATTCTACATAAGTAAAACCAATGTTTAAAATTAGAGATTGCATCTTTCTGTAATCTCAGAAATAAAAATTAACAGTAGGCATATCACTGTTTGGAAAACATAAAGTTGTAATTTTTGAAAAGTCAAAACCTTTCAAAAACCACAATCCTAACAAATATACACTGAAGCTTGTTTATCATCCCCTTCCTGCAAGCCATAGTGAAGTAATACTATAATGCCTTTTAACTAGATCATAATCTTTCTATATTTTTAAAGAGTAAAATGAGGATATTGCTATATCCAAACACTTTGCAAACTCATTGCAGTGAGGGTTAGCTCAAAAACAACATTCTGCATCCTTGGTGTGTTCTCTCTCTCCCTCTCTCTGATTCCTATAGATATAAACACACATACTCTTAAAAAAATGTTATCACAAACCTTGCTCAGAAATGATTTCATGCACAGAATCAACTGAATTATTTATCATCACTATTATCAGCATTACCATTTATAGTTTCCAAAGTATTTATTGTCATACAAAGTATTTTGCCTCTCTGACTTGAAAGTACATGGAGTAAACTTTCTCTTGGAACCCTTTTACCCATTTGAACCCATGGAAATACCTCAGGACTGGCCCTGATTCTGCTTGGAAACAGCTAACATAATCAATGACTAATCAAGACTGCCTGTGTTGTACTAAAATGTGACTGCATGTCTGCATGTTTTTAAATTAATTGCACTGCACAAGTTCAAACAGAAACTCTCCATAATAAGCTATTAAAATATTAATTAAAAATTAAGTTTAGTTGGGTTTAACAAATACATTGCTTAAACCCTTCTCCCTGAGAACTGTTTTCAGACTATGGAAAATAACTCATTGATGGGTATACCCGTTAAAGGAATGTGTTTTTGACAGATGAAATGTTTCATGGTTATGAAGAATTCATCTCTTTATTGTAAAGAATCTCCAAATGCAACTGTCTACATGATAATATCTGAAATAAAGGAACGAAAAGCACCTAGTATGATGAAAAATGTTAACTCAGAACCATGTCAAGCTGTTAAGTCTTTTAGTGAAACTATGGTTTCTAAAAATGATTGTTGCCATTCTCAATGAAAAACAAAAAGAGTGGAACCATTCTTACATGAAACTAAATGATGATGACTGAGGCCTCATCCAAAGCCTACCTATGTGCATGTTTTTGGTAAAACTCTAAAAAGAATTCATTAAGTGAATCTTTATACAGTTGTTGTCCAATGTGAAGCACTACCTAATTCAAAGTGGCCACTGAATTGCCCCTGAAGTAGAACAGATGTATAAAGAGCTATGGTAAACAGAGGATAAATCTGTTTGCATATATTTGTAGGCATATATTTTGATAAATAGACAGATGCATATAATTACACAGATCTTGGTCAGATGTCATGGCAACATCCAGTGGCAAAGTTTGGGTCAATTAACTCACACACGTAGAGAACACATGTTACAACTGACCAGAGTTGCTTCTGTAACATCCAAATCAGGATACCTAGGGTTGTTTGTAGGTTAACCCCTGACTTATTCTTTGGTTAACACGGACCAAGTGCTCCTGTTTGGACATCATAGAAACAACCCTTGAAGGTGGCTTTCAAGAACTGTTAATGCAAACAGGAAGCTGCTCACAAGTGGCTTGGGTGTAATTTGCTACCTAGTGATTGATGGGTCGCTTAACCCATCACTTGCTGCTGTATACCACCATGACATCTGAAAGGGGCACATTCGGTGCATTTAGATAACAAACAGAATTTTGATAGGCGTTTAGTTAAATCTTCCCCTTTCCTGCTATATTAAATCTAAAACTAGTGCTACTGTGATCAGAAGATATTTGAGAACAAGCTATATTTCATTCTATACAGAGGTCAAAATAATAAAAAGCATAAAAGGTAGCCAAAATTTAAAAACTGATTTGCTTCCGGTGTATTATAATTCAGCACAGTGTGCATGGTATTAACAGGTAGATCAATACCACCAAGAAGATCCAATGATGTATCTAATATTTTGCACACATGACTGAAATATACGGTTTGATGTTTAAAATACACCAGGACACTGGTCTCTAATCATAATACTAGAGACTTTTATCTCTGCGCACAGATGTGAAATGTAGTGCTCGAGCATTAAAATGCATACATTCCAAAATCAGGTGCATTACTGCAATATGTAAAACTTCTCTCACCATCCAGATCAGTTTACATTTCAGGCCAAAAAGAGTGGTGAAATTAGTACTTTGCCAAAATGGGTTTTTCCCCCATTTTGCTGGCAACAGTAATGTACTATATAAATAAGCCACAGTTTCAGCAAGATCTAGAGTCTATGTTGTGAACAATAAAGTAGCATCAGTCACACAGTTAGGTCTGCTTTATGTTTTTCTAGATAGAATTTAGCAGGGCTTCACTCAATTTCATTCATCAATATACTAGACGGATACACATAAGCACAAAATGCACAAGAAGCAGCCAATACACAATGATCTTGGTGATCTTCTCTAATGACATTAATATAGGGAAGAAAACAATGAAAAAGGAAGCAAAACTAAACTGATTACACCTAGCATTACTTAAACACTACTGTACTATAAACTTACAATTTTCATCTGTCTTCTTTCTCCTTTAAAAGTATATATAGAAAGCTACAACAGTTTAATATTTTCAAATGGAATTTTTGAATATAGCAAAAGTGAAGAAACAGAAAACCCCTCACACTACTAAAAATAGAAATCAATACATTTCACTTTTCCAGGTTATAGCTTTAGATTTTCGTATTCATATATGCATTCTTTAGCACCCATATAGAAAACTTCATGTGATGTTTTTATCTCTCAACGAAGAAAGGCCAAGCTTACCTGCTTCAGAGAGATCTCTGAGCGAGCTGCTGAGAGCACTCCTCTTAAGCCCCTCTCCAGTGGCATAACTGTCATCAAGGCAGGCTCGGTTCAGTGTCCCATTGCCGGATTCTTTTTTCAGGCTTGAGCACTGAGACATGCTTGGCCGTACTACACCTTTCTGCTTTTCAAGTTCGGCTAAAAACAGGCAAAAGCCAGTTACATGATGAGTCATATCATTTATATTATTAGGACTTCTCATACTTTACCGACTCTTTCAAGCTGTGGAATCCTTTTAACTTGCTTGCCAATAACCTCAACAATACCAAACAGAATGGCTTTTAAAAACTGGCACCTGAGCAAATGAATAATGCTATGTTTGCAAAAGATCTAGCAAACAAGAAGTTGTGCCACAAATGCAAAGGCTCCAATTAAAGAGAGCTTTGTATAAGCGGAGGATTCCCATTCATTTAAATGCTGGGGATATGCCACATACTCAACAATGTATTTCCTTTCCCCTCCAGCATTAAAAATGCACAGAAAGTATACTGCATGCAAGATATACAACACACTCTGGTATCCATTTTGTAAGCCGCCCCGAGGCTTTTTGCGAATGGGACGGCATAGAAATGTTTTAAATAAATAAATAAAATCCAGAAGACAAAAATATCTGAAAATAGTACTGAGCAAAACTTTATATGTCAATCTTCCCTGCCCTTACTTGTTGAGTTGCCACCAAACCTTCAAAGTCGATAAAAAATAATCACAATACAATACATTATAAGTACTGATTTTTTATATCAAACAAGCAATGGCAGTATTATATAACCACATGTTCACAGCCAATTGTTGTGCTTAAAAGTGGGGTAAAGTCTGCAGGCTGAAGTGTATGCCATCGGATCAACATCCAGAGGAAAATACAATGTATAAATGTGACATAAATTCAGAACTCTTTCTTAAAATTTACTATTTAAACCACACTCCTTGAGCTAGACTTAATCATGTAAAGCTATCCTTTTCTAGATATGCCAAATACATTTGCCTAAATTAATTAATTTTTAAGTGTTCTACTATATGTACCTTTGTACTTACACTCTATTCTGTGCTTTTCCATCTCTTGGACCTCTGCGATAGATTCCCTCAGGTCATCTGTAAATTTTTTTCTGTCCTGGGGATTTGGTGCATTAAAATTTATCAGAACTTTTATATCTGCTCCTGGAACAGCTGATGTGAGCCGAATGCCATTTGGATAATCTAGGAGGTAGTAGAAGTTGAATATTTATATTAATTACATCAGGATTTTCTCCCCTCTACTTGCATCTTGAACTGTAAAAGTGATACATCTCATTAAGGGTTTCTATTTCCATAATAATGCTTCCCCCTGCCCACACCTCCTCAATGAATAGAGAACTATACTCAGAGAATATACTATATTCAGAAATCATAAATGGCTAATAACATTCTGATTGTGAAATGATGACTAGAGTACGGATTAGAATGAATCCTTACCAGCAACATTACTCTAGACAGCTGGGGCTGTCATATTTCTTCCTTTTAACTATACACATCCTCATAGAGATGATTTAGATTATTTCATGAATCCACACACACTGGTAACGTTAGCTATCCAATAAGTTATCCTCTAAAGAAGATTTAATAATTCTATATACTAAGAACTGTTTTCTAACTAAGTAATAATGAATACTATTGTCAAGGCATTTAATTGAAACCCTGTGCCTGTGGAGGAGGAAATGGCTTTTAGAAATCAGGTTGTTTGCATTTTATTCTTGAACACTAGAAGCTGAACATCTGGCACAATATTTCAAACAGCTAGCAATTCTGCCATTAAGTAAAAAGATTATAGATATTCAATGACCATAAACAGGGTCTTGAAAAAGCAGAGGCCATTTTCTGTCATACCAACCAGTTTCTGAAAACGAGCCATCATTTACACGATGAATCACAAAACATGGGCAGAGTAATCCTATGACCCCTAGACAATGTCTAGGGAGCCATAAACTTTGTATTCCCAGATCTGAGGTTGGAAGAAAGCTCTAACCTCAGTGTTGAGGGATCAGTGCTTCGATCTGCCTCTCTCATACCTTCCGCACAGAGGGCACAGAAAGAACCACACCAGTTGCATCTCCAAGAGTGACTTCAGGGAAGAGGTAAAGAGGGGTGGGGAGAGGAGACAAGGGCTGCCAGGATATAACATATCCTAGAGACACTCCAGCCTCCTTCCCTTTCCTATAATTTGGGCATCTAACTGACTTGCAGGGCAACTCGTATGTACCACTCTTCCTCCTGTGAATAATCTCCTTGCATGTTTGCCAGCCCCAGTAAGATAATGTTTGAATGGGGCTAGAAAGATGACTTATATAGAAAAGGCCTGGATCAGCTGGAACAGAACTTCATCTGGGAAACATCCCATTGAAGATTGGGGAGGGAGAAGGTTTGAGCCTGTGGAGGAAAGAACAGTTGACAGGGTGATGAAAAATGGGAAAAGAAACTCAGTGGGGAAATTGGCTGGAGGCACTGGTGTGTGGTGTAGGGCAGGATTCAGAATAAGCTGAGGTGAATGCAGACAGCTGAGGTTTGATTATAATGTTATGCCTTCAATGTATGATAAATATACCATGCTGATAGGATCAGGCAGGAGTGACTAGCAGTGTTATACTTGTATAAAGGCGCATCCAGAAGATTACACAAACGGGGCTTAAAAGTAGGTAAAATGTTCACCCAGTCTATAGTACAACAGGAAGAGTTGTGGCATCAGAGGAAGTTTGTGCCCAGAAGCTGGACCTTGTTGTGAGTGCATTGGCTGGGATGGTGGGTTGCGAATATGACCTGAGGTAAAAAACAAACCAACGAACCAACCATTTACTGTATGATCTTATACTTGCACACTCATTAAATTCAATGGGCCTTAGGTGGCTATAGGTTTGCAGCCCTTACAAGTTCATGTCAACAATATGTCCTTGGAATCCTTAGCAATGGTCATCAAGAATTTCTGAAAACCCAAATTATGTATCAGTATTCTCTTAACATAAACAATCTTTATTAATGTGATAGTTCATCTTGTCTCTAGGTGCTGGTGTCTGTCTTGCATAAGTCTCTTACACTATAAGACTAGGAGGCTTTGAAGTATTCCAAAGGATTTTGTGACTGCAGAAAAAGGTCAAATTAAGGAACTCTGAGTTACTGTGCAAGTGAATTCCTCAGACTTGAAATATCTAAATTGTAAAGAACACAACATCTAAGCAATGGGCTATGAAATAGGGGAATGAAGGAAGAATTTTTCCATAAAAAACACATTCAGATCCAAAGACATTTAAAAGATGTTTTGAAAACTTTTAAAGAATTAGATTGTGTACGGGAAAGTGAATATATTTCAACATTATTTGATTACCACCAGCCTTTTTTTAAAGTGGTTTGTTCTAGAATGTGTGAAAGTATCACACTTTTATGTACATGGTATGCATTCCTGTAAGGTCATGAAAAAAATAAAAAATGAATAGTATGCTTGATCACATATAGGAAAGATTTTAATTGTGTTACCAGGATCATGCACATATCTTCAGGTATTACTCTGAATTCCCACTGCTTTGTTTACTAAGCAGGTTCAGGGTTTTGAAAATGCAAAAACAGCTACTATATAATTTGCACCAGCTCCCACTAGCACAATATAAAGGCAAAAGGACTTTTTCCTCCCTACGCATATTCTTCTGAAATTGTTTTGGTCCCCAAAGTGGGTGGCAGAGAAGTAAGAGGGAGGTACAAGGTCAACAGAAGCAGGAAAAAACTCTAAAATGACAAAATACAGAGTATTTATTGCTGTGCAAAGATGGAACAAAGCATCTTAAAAAAAGATGTGGTTGGCACACTTCACCCCACATACTGCAATAGTTTTACAGGTTCCATTTATTTCATCTCAAGGAAAATTCAGGTTTGGAAGCAAAATGTTCCATCTGAGAATAAGGTAGCTGCTTCTATTTTGTCAGGGGATCAGCTCAGGATGCATAAGTATACCTTATTGTGAATTAAAAGCAAATGACATTGAAAGCAAATACATCTGAACTGGTTGATGTAAACTGTGACCTTGAAGCATGTTGATGGCAAAGAAAAAGGCTCCTAAACAAGTCAGAAGGGCAAGTCTACTGATAAAGCCCATAGCTGAGAACAGATTGAAACATGGACTGTCCACGTGTCAGCTGAAAACAAACCTCCTCCCAAAGGTAGGTATGAGAAAACAGATTTCCTGAAGCCTTTTGATATTGGACATCTGAGGAGCATCAGGTTGGAGAACAGTGGTCAAGACTGTTTTAGCCCAATAGGTGGGATGGAAGACGATTAAAAAACCTTCTCCTCCAGCCCCTTCTGGAGCAGTTTGGCCTCAGGCTGAGCAGTTGTGGTCTAAGCAATCCAGAGGGAACCAGTTTGGAGAAGATTGCCTCTGATATAGGTAGGAGATTTCATTAGCTTGTTTTTGAAGGAAATCTATTCTGCACTGATTGTTGGCCACCATTCCGGATAGCTTTAAAGGAGGGTGGACAATTTCATGGAGAATAAACCTATCAATGACTATTAGTTCTGATGGCTATAGGCTACCTCCAGTTTCAGAAGCAATGGGCCTATGCATACCAGTTGCTGGGAAACACGGACAGGAGGTTGTTCTGGCATTCATGTCCAGTTTGTGGGTTTGCTGTAGGCAGCTGGTTGCCCACTGTGTGACCAGAATGCTAGACTAAATGGCCCTTGGTATGACCCAGTATGGGTCTTCATATAATAGCTTATAGTAGTATGCTAGATTAAGAGATGCCTTGCATCTATCCAGGACTACTTATTTCTAGCTATGTAGGTATAAAACACTGTTTTGGAGGTTGGCCTTGCAGATCCTATCAACATCTATACTAGATTAAGGTATTTTGCCAATGTTAATCACTTTACTCTGTTACTTTAAAAGAAAGAAACAAACAAGGCATTCAAAGGAAAAAGTGTCAATAATGAACTGCTTCAACTACTTTGACATTAACTCAGTGCACACACAGTTTGCATATGACAAACAGAAAAAATGTAGATAGCACAAATAACTTGGAACAATTGCCAATGGAGCTGATCAGATGGTAGCTATTTTTAACAGTGTTAAAGATTAGCATGTCAAATTCATTTCTACTGCATTAAGCAGAGGTAGGCGATCCGAAGCTTTTAACAAGCTATAATCTGCCTAGCAAAGTTTCTTCCCTGTTAAATGTTCTAGCACTACTGCTTTGTGGTGCTTGATATGCAGGCCGCTTTTGGGGGCAGGGAGGAAGTTCTTCTGGGGAAGAGATCTTCAAGGGCTATATACAGCACACTAGTCTTTCATTGTCCACTCCTGGCACAAAGGTTCGTCATTTTGAGAGACAGTTTTCAACTATAGCAGATGTATATTTCAGTATAGCAGATGTATATTTCAGTTCGTTCTGTCTTCCTTCTGTTTGTGAATGAGTTTATTTTACGGTATTATCACTTATAGAAAACAAAATTTGTCATGCAGCAGCTTGAGAGTGTGACAGTGGAGGTACAGACATACCACCCATTACAATTTCCATTTATACGTACTACTCCACTTTATCAACTTTGGCTAATCATATATGAAACATCCATGATCTGAGATAAGCTAGATCAGGGCTTTATAGGGCTCTATAGTCTTGGAGAATTGCTTTGTAGTCTTCCTGATTTTATTGTGGCTCTCTTCTTATTGTGGCTTGCATTTATTTAAAATGTTATTTTAATGAATTCTGTTACTGCCCTGATTTTGTAATGGAGGATGGTGTATAATTATTTTAAATAAGTAAATAAAAGCCTGAAGCACAAATTAGAATGGCCCTGTGTGTCAGCCCATGTCATCTGGAAACCCTCCTCCTCCATAACCACAAATTGAGTTTCAAGCATTGATTCCTCAAAATAATATTAAGAACTGATTCACAGCAATTTCTTAGCTCACTGATGGGCTAAAAATCAAACTTACACTGATTCTCAAAAAGGAGCACTTGCATTCCATAGAGGGAAAACGACTGCCGAAAACTATACGTGACTGAATTCTTCTTCTTTTGAAAGATTTTGGTGACCTAAAAATATCAATAGGAAAAACATCACAGTATGTTTTGTAGCTAGGAAAGAACTATTAGTTAGCTTTAAAATAATGTAATCCAAATACAGCTAACGTTTATACTATCATACAAATGCTAAGCATCCTAAACACAAATTATGTGCAAACCACCAGAAATGCACTATGAAATAGAAGCACTCAGCTGGTAATCAGATGGTAAATATGGTCAGTGGGTGCAACCATCTTCTTTTTACATCAGTAATACATAGTGTCATTCACAGTGGACCATTCTCTGCCCAGTGGCCACTCAGAGAGCGCCATCAGAGCATGAAGCAGAGGGAAAGTTTAAAAGACTACAACCCTCTGCTTGTTCATGTCTATCATGGCAAGCCACCATAACAATAAATAAGTGCCCCCCACCCAATTCCCAGGATGAACACCTCTACAAAAGTGAGCACATGTCGATTGTGGGACCATTACTAAAGTGCACACCATCCCCTCCCTGAAAGTCAAAATCCTGCCAAGCAGCAGTTTTTTTCTTTTTAAAAATCTGTTTATTTGTTTTCGGAAAGTACAATAGAAGGAAAAAAGAAGTATGTGGGGGGTGGGGTTGGAGAGAAGCCAAGGATCATTCCAAAGATTTACAAGCAACTCCTTCTTTAAGAACATTTACAAGAAACAAAAGTCCCTATCAACCACTCTCCCATCCAATTCTCAATCATAAATTTATTTAGTCTATAAAATCAGTTATAGATCATAACATTGCTTTGGTAAAAAATAGCAGTAATCACAAGTATTTGTAAAAATTATATTTTCTTTATCCATTATTTAAACTGTTCAAAGTAAACCTTCCATCTTTGAATAAATTCTTTAAACTGGTCTTCTGCTGACATTGTTAGCTTTGCCATTGTTGCGTACTCTGATAGCTTGTTTTTCCAATCTTCAATAGCTAGGCAGTCTTCAGCTTTTCATTTTGAGGCAATTATCACTCTTGCTGCTGTTATCATGAATATAATTCTGACAAAACCTTTGGACAATACTCAGTAATATATTTTGGCATTCATTGGAAAGCCAGTTCTGAGTATTTTCTGCATCTCAGAGTGTATCCGTTTCCAGAATTTTTTGGTTCTGTCACATGTTCACCACATATGATAGAAGGCCCCATCTATCTTTTTGCATTTCCAACATTTTCTATTATAATTCTTGTCCATTTTCTACATATTTTTCAGGGTAATGTACCACCAGAAATACATCTTATACCAATTTTCTCTTAGTGCTTGGCTTGAGGTAAATTTTATGTCCTTTGTCCATATGATTTCCCACTGGCAGGTTGATATTTGGCCAAGCAGCACTTTTAAAGGGAATGACTGAACCTAGTCCACAAAAATGCTGACTGTCAGGATTTCAGGTTTTTTTTTTTAAGCTTCTGTGTCTAATCATTCTAGATCAGACACAGAGACTTTGCGCACAGCTGTACAATGTACAGCAGCTCCCTCGTAGCCATATGTATACAGAAATCTACTTCTGCATATACAGTACTCAAGCTGACCAGATTTAAGGAACTTTTCTACTTAGTGTGAGTATATTTAAAGAGGCCTTTTTCCTTAGCAGAGCTTCTCCATTAATACAATGTGCTATAAAAATACATCTGTCAGATACATACCACAAGAAGATCATTAAATAAAAATATTTCTCGCTGGTGTAAGCCAAGCTTCTGAGGTTTATTTGGATCTGGAACTTCAAAGAGTCTACAGTAGCAAACAAGTCTTCGATGTGGAAGAGACAGAACCTGTGGGACAGAGATAAAGCACAGTGCTGAGTCAGGTTGATAAAGCAGTTCTGTACTGTCTAGCTAAGTCTTTTTATATTGAAGGAAAAAAATCAAAATGGTACCAATCAAAACACTTAACAAAAACAAATATTTCTATTATTTTCTGTATCATATTGTATTATTCTTTCTTTGTTGTCATGTTTATTTATACTATTTTGTGCAGTATTTTTCTTAACACTTTTTCATCATTAAGTCTCCTGGTGGCCTGATTTTGCTGGGTGATTAACAGAGCATTAATATAGCAGGCTGGATCCAGGGATCTCATGAGTATAACTCTATGCATGGTGAGAGTGGGAAGAGGAAGCTATTTACACCAATTTCCCTTTCACCAGCTCTCTTCCTCCTGCAGTAATCTGTATGAGAGGCAGTAAAGGAGGCTGGAGGCTCACTCATTCTGGGAGCGGCTCTCTCAGCTGGATAACCAGCTGAGGCAACACCTGAATCCATGAAAATAAATTCATTGTATTAGGTATCCAGCAGGGATTACAATTTTGAACTTTAATGTCAATACAGGTTTTGCAACATCATTAACTAAGTGTATGACAACCATTGTCAAATGAAAGAGTATAAGGCAGTAGTTCTAATTACAATGACATCTTTAATTAGCATTTTATAGTTCTTTTTTAGCCCCAATGCAAAGCAAGTTTACAAACAACTTTACTTTCTGAAAGGCAATTCTTAAGAATAACCATTTACTGTACTGTTGTTGTACAGTTACTGTACCAATAATTCCACTTTAGCATTCATGCCACTTATTAAGAAAAGATGCCAAACATAAAGGCACATATCACCTGATTTGTTGGTTGGGACAACATACATGCTGCTTGTGCTGATTATCACCACATGGCACAGTGCAAAATTTCCTCCATAAGAAGAATATGATGCACGGACTACTTAGAGCTGTGAGTATTCCCACTGCTTTAGAATAGCCTGGCTCAAAATACTACAAAAGTACAAGAAAGAAAGCTTTTTCCTTATTATGTGATTTTGTGAGAGACTGCAGATCAATTGCCCTATTCTATTCTACACATGGAACAACTACAGTGATTCTATTTCTTATTCAGCAGCAAAATAAGGAGTTGGATTCACAGAGATATAACATACAAGAAAAAAAAATAAAACTCTACAGATAGCATTCTAGTTTTTTTAATTTTAAAAATGATCTTAAATAGAGGAATGATGTTCTAATAGCAGTTAACTAACCTGGTGAGATTATTAATACTGCCTTCAGCCCTAGTTGAGCTTTTTAACCTTGGAATGCCATTACTGTTTTGTGCGCTCTGTATTTGTGAAACTGAACCATCCAGAAAAACTACAGTCTGGTTACTTTTCATAATAACATAATTTATTAGGTCAATTATTAAACTTTCAGTCTCAATACTGTATTTTAAAACTACAGAATGAACAACTTCAAAAGTTTAAAAGAACAAAAGGCCAATTCTCAACACTATTCTTATGGGCTTTACTTATAAAACATAAATGGATATGAAAGGAAATACCTACACAACCAAGTCCATGATGTAGAGATCCAATCTACAATAAAAGAGACATATAAGTTCACTAAAATTTATAGAAACAAAGAATTGTATCATACCAAGTAAATACTTCATAATTTTACTATGTCTAAATTCCTAGAAATGAAAGCAAATCTGTGTCATCTGAGAAAGTCCAGCCCTTCAGGCAACCACCCCCTTGAGCACCTTGCCAGAAGTGGGAAATGACTGCAGGTGGATCATAGTTTGAAATAATGTTACAATTCCAAGGACAGGTTCTGCAGGAATGATCTCTTACTGCCACTTTCTGAGCAGCTGGTGGTGGCCCATCTTATAACAAGGCATTTAACACTTCTTGGTTCAAGGTGGTCATTCCTTTTCTGACTGATGTTAAACCACAAGGGGGAAGGGTTGAACCACCAGATAATAACCTGTATTTCCCTAAGCCCCTAGTTCATGCCTTAATGCAATTATTCTGACCCTGAAGATCAGAGCACACAGGACAGAGCAAATCACTGAAGGTTGCTTAAAGTTAGCTTTCAAGCCTGGTTGGAGAAGACTCTGAGACATTTAGAAAGGTTTGTTTGAAAGAATTGCACCAAGTCAATGGCTGTGGTGAAGTACCATTTCTTCACTGACATCACTGACGAAGTAGGCTGCCAAATTCTTGCGACTGATTAGGTTTGGCTCATGTTTCTGTCAGTTGTATTCAAACCCTGTGTTTCAGTGTCTTCAACTCACTAGAATATCAGGGAGTTAATGGTATTCTTAGGAATGTGTGTATCAATTGATCAAGTCCATACCACAGTTCTACACAATAACTAGGACATTAACAGGACCTCCAACTATACCAAGCTTCCTGAAGGCTCTAGGAACCCAAGCAGACTCATCACCTTTTGAGGACTTTTAACTGGGAAAAAATTAATTGGTCCACTATTCCAGCTAAGTACAAAAGTTACAATCATGTCACCAGAAGAAAAAATATTGCTACACACCTAGTTCAGGTAAAGTAATAAATAAAAGGTTAGCTATAGTTTATGAACTCTCTAGTTCAAATATATCTTTAGCAATAAACCTAGATAACTCATGATATCTCAAGTCCAATATTACTGTTATTTATTTATTAGATTTCTTAGTCAACTTCCTAAAATGAAGAATCTAAGTCATTTACAGCAGATTTAAAACATTCAAAATTTAAAACAAATGAAGCTATTATACATTAAAATATGATCACCCCATAAGCTAAAACATCAGTGACACCTATAAACAATGCAGCTACTGCAATACTGGTATACCAATAACAGCTTGCTTTACATACTATTCCAAGAATTATGAAGCTTATGTATATGAAACACTTTGAAAAAGCACTTTACATAGGCAAAACATGATGGTGGATCCCACTTTTTCCAAAAGGGTTCATTTTATCATGCAAGCACAAATCCTTACAAAACAAAAATCACAGTGGGATGGGTCACTTTATGACCTTATTTGCCAGTTATCTGTTCTTATTCTCTCAATTGCACTCTTTCTTTAAATATAAAATACAAGATGAAACAGGGTATCAAAAACAAGTCCCATGTGATATTATAAAGCTGGTTTGTTATGGTATGTATTTATTTATTCACAAATTTATATGCCGCCTATAACTGTCAAAAGCCTTCCTAGGCGGCTTAGAACTAACAACATATTAAAATCTATTAAAACAGTTAAACATCAATACAACAAACAATAGAGAAAAGGCCACCAGCATTCACAAGGACTAAGTATTATTATTTTTCAAATGTATGTCTTTGCCTGGCGCCAAAAAGAAAATAAAGATGGCACCAGGAGTTTTTCCCTACAGAGGGAGTTCTGGGGAGCAGCAGCAGAAAAGGCCCTTTGCTTATTTGCCACCCCCTCACCTCCCTGGGGGTGGCTGTCATAAAACTGATCTCAGGGGATGAGTAGGTATATGATAAAACTGCACTGTTGATGAAAATAAGGTCTTCTTGAACCCAACCTGGATTCTTTTGCAGAGGAGCAACTTGTGGAGATCCTGAATTTAAAGCAATACAAATGCCTGTTTACCAGTTCTAATTTTTAATATGAGGGTCAAATAGGCATCATGATTTTTGTACCCATTCTAGCACTAAGATTTCCAGGCCTGAGCAATTCTTAGTTTGAGAAAAGAAAAACTAATAGAACATTCTTAGCCTAGAAATTCTCAAATGTATCATAAAAACTAGGTGAAGTTTCAACTCACCGGTTTTTTTCCTACTATGAGTTTTTCAACCTTCTGAACTTGTGACACATGATCCTCATTTGTTTTGAGTTCTCGCTTTCGGATTCTCTCATAAATCCCAATAAGCATCTCTCGTGGGATATCTTCACCATCATCCACGCCTGCAACACCCAAAACTGATTGTTACTAAAAAACAGCAGCATTTCCCTCTTGACAATAATGCCCTTCTCAAACTAAGGACTCTCTCTAGCTTTTTTAGAATATCAGTTCCAAGGCAAGGCCATAGTATGTTTTATGTATTGTAAGCTGCTCAGGAAGGCCTCAGAAACTTTAAGCGGCCTATAAATACAAAATAAATAAATAAATAAATAAAGGCAACAGATCGCTATACTGTTTATCTTATCCAGTACTATAACTTTACCCTGTGTTCCACAATCTTATAGTATAATGCTTGGTTCTTAGACAGATGAGTACAAGGTCAGACAATACTTGTAAAGTGTACATGTCCATCTCATCTTACACTTACACACAACTTTTGTTAAAATTGTAAGTATTCCCCTGCTAGCTCAGATCCAGAAACAATCTAGTATAGCATCTTGTTTCCACAAATTAGTAGACCACATGCTTCTAGTATAGAATGCACTGCATTTATATATATCTAAATACCTATACCCAAGTACCTACTCTTACAGAGAATAATAAAGGAAAACTAGTTTTATATTAATGGAGTTCTTTCCTAAGCAGCAATTAAACCATTTCCCAAGTTTTAAATGGCCAGGTCCCAACAGTAAGAGCTCCCAACACAGGTCATTGTTCATCACGATTTTTGCCACTACCAGACAATTCTTAGTGAGACTGAGTAGTCAACATGGTTAACCATATAAGGACAATGGTACATGATTGGCTAGTCCAGCTAGTAATGATGTCTTTGTGCCAATCATGATGAACATGCAAATAAGTATTCTAGTGTTCCAATGCTATCATTCCCTACATGGCTTGGAATCACAGTACCTGATAGAATTGCCTCTCTCGATTGCAATCTCCCTGGACATTATGATCAAGATCTGGAACCTGCTTTTGATTGTCACCTTCAAGGGAGGCTTGGCTGGTGGCAACAAGGAGAAAGGCATTTTCATGGTAGCCCCTCAGTTATGGAATAAGATTCCAACTGAGGCCTACCTTGTGCTAATTTGAATCTTATCAGTAGTGGATTAAGATTATCCTCTAGCACAGGGAGCACTATATTACTTCATTATTATACTGAGGCTTAGGTGAACTGCTTAAATAGGTCTTATAATTTAATCTGCATAATCTATTGTAATATTTTACACTTATTTTAAAATTTTGTATGCTAATTTTATGTTTATATTATTGTCTGTAGTTTATATGGAATTTTATATGTTGTTGCAAACAGTCCATCAAGTGTTGGCTATTGGGTAGAATATAGTACAGAAATAAAACTAATAATAATAATACTGCTGTTGTGGCACATCTGTTTGGTAAACACAAATGTTCCTAGAGATTCTGTGAACTGATAACAATATTGCACTTTGATAAGATGCAGCACTTTTCTATTTCCCAATTAGTATGATGAGACTTGTAAAAATGAATGAAATTGATAGTTTCCACAAGTTCTTTCCTTTTTGTATATGTTAATTGCATCAAGGAATGAAAAGTACTATGGGATGATAGTACCATTATTCATGAGTGACACAGCAATAATGAAGAAGGAATGGTTTTATGAAATGTTAAATGTCCTCCAGTCAGAACATTTAAAAAATATAGCAACCTTGGAGAACAATAACTGTAGATCAAGGACATCATTATACAATATAATTCCTTTTAAAACTAAGTCTTTCTTGCTGTGACACACTTGCTGATTAAGGGCAGGCTCTGAATGTCTGATGTCTGTTCCTACAGAATTCTTTGCAATGTGGGCTTAAAGTTATCAAGCTCCTCACATTGATGTCTCACAAGAAAGCAGAGGGGGATTTCTCCAGAGTTTCAGCCTTCTCAGGGACTGACTTCTGTAGCATTGACTAGACTGACAGAGAAATGGGAACTGGCTAGAACTTTCACTGTTTTGCATTGTAGGATATTTTTCAGTATAGCCTTGTTGACTCTAGAACCCAAATAAAAATGGTACAGTTGCAATCATATACAGTCACCTGGGAGTAAGCCCCATTGAACTCAATGGGGTTTAATTCTGAGTGAACATCTACAATTGCTCCATGAGAATGCACTCCTGTGTGTGCTTATTCAGAAATTAAGGCCACTGTTTATAAGATTTAAGCATGCACAGGACTGAACTCTAATGCTGTAGTTTTTTACAATTGACTTTCAAAGATGAAAGATGTTTAAATGATGCCTACCTCTTAGATTCTTGACAAAATCTTCAAGTTTCATTTTGCGTTCTGGCTTCACATTTGGACTATACATATCTGTATTTAACAATATGATTGCAAAAGCCAGGATGAAGATAGTATCAGGATTTCTGAACTGTCTCACAACACCTGGATTGCATATGCAGTATCTCTGGCTACAAGACACCAAAGGAAAAAAGTGAGTCAGATTAATGAATAAGTTGATATGCTAATCAATAAACTGATCCAGTAAGGATGCAGATCTTATACTCATCTGTAAGTATATTCATTTAGTGGTTTATAATTATTTACTGTTCTATCCCATTCTCATCAGCCCAGATGATGTATTATTATGCCGACCATTTGTATCCAAATCACTCTATACTAGTTTAGATATTCCTGTGATTAAAGCTGCTCTAATTCCATTAAAGTAAGTGCCCTCAATCCTACAAACTTTCTTGTTTTGGGGAAACAAACGTGTCTAACAGTACAGTCACAGATAATTAATTACTGAAGTGTGCACAGGTTCTCCAAAACTAGATACGGCTGCCAAATCTTTATTTAAGCAAACTAATTGGAGCCAATTGCAAAATACAACTGTAATGCGGCCTAATGAAATCCAGTGTGGTCAAGTAGTTTGAGCACTCAGCTGGGACTGGGTTCTAGTCCCCAGCTGGCCATGAAACTCACTGGCCTAAACTACCTCATACATTTGTTGTGAAGATAAAGTGGAAAGGAGAGTATTGAAGACACTTCAGTTCTTTGCAGTAAAATAGTTAGGATATGACACTATATAATAAATAAATACAACAGCCATAGTGTAAAGTGGCAATGAAATTCAACCTTTTTGCAGGTGAAACATCATCATTCATGTGCAGTGCCCCATTTTCTCTGGTATCCCTGGATGCTTTTGATCAAATATCTGTATCCCAAATATGCCAGAAAAAATAGCAAACCTTTATATGTTGTGAAATATAACACAGCTTTGATTAATAGTTAATTTGCATGTCTATATGTACTCAATTGCATATTGCCTTCAGAGGGCATCTGTACTTATTTACATGCACCTGGTGTCTCTGCCAATGACTTCTACAAAGTCACTTAATATACCCACTTAATGTATTTCCCTTTACTTATAAGAATACTGGGAGATTTTTATATTTCTTCCCATGCTCCCCACCCCCAGGTATAAAGAGTATTTGTTTAGGCTTTAATAAGTTAATACTCTCTGCTCAGTTAAGCTAAACTACTTAATTAAAGGTCAACAGAGTGCACTGCAAATTATAATACAGGACAATGCCTTCCTCTAGTTGAGTGCATACGTACATTCATTTCAAGGATTAAATGGAGATCAGACAGTATTCCATTCAAAACAACAAGTATACCTGACAAAATCTACAGCATGTAATAATCTGAAAAAAGAATGGTCAAGAGACTACCTAAGCAATCACTTCTACAAAGTTAAACTAACAGAATACAATCTAGGCATATTTAACATAATAACTGTGGGCCATTGCATGTGTTACTCTAAATACGCAGCTACAGCAAAAATGTTTTTTTATACTCTAGAAAAAGTTCAGGGGTCCAGATCTCAACTTTAACCCTAGAATGGGAGGCAAGAATTTTAACTACCCCTTACAGTGTAACCTGAATTTGGCCCTCTGAATTTGTATTGCTAAACAGTGATTCATTAAAGCTAGTGGACCACTATTAAACAATATATAGTGCAGGCACAAGGTCCTGTTCTGGATTGAGACTGCAACCGGAGACAACGGGTTAAAGCCTCCTATCTCCATATTGAGGACCTGATTCAGGCCCGTACCCCTGTATTTACACTAGAGTAAAACAAAAATCCCTGGTTCTGTGACTGAACAGATGAGAAAATAAATCTTCCATGAACCAAGTCTTTGTGCCATACCTAAAAGCTTCAATGAGTCGTTCTACCTTCTGAGCTTCTCCTTGAACTCGGATATGAGCTTGAAATTTCCTGAGTGCTTCATCCAGTTCCATAGCTGAGAAGTCCATCTCATCCACAACACAGCTAGGATGAAGGAAGTATTTGATTTCTTTCATTTTGCCATGTTCCAGTTTAGAATTTTTTAAAATTTACCCTATCTTTAGTATTTTACTACTGCACTAAAATATACTTTGTACAAGATTCAATCAGCTGAAACACATAACAGTGAAAGGGCAATGAACGATTTATATGCACTACATATCAATTAAAATAGCTAATGTAAGCAAGTTATGTTTTTTCTTTATTATAAGGCTGTATCCATAATGAATACCAATCAGTGAAGGAGATCTCATTGGCAAAAATAATCAGTTTTATGTTCTCAACAAAGCTATTTTGCCCTCAATCTGGGCCTATGCTAGAGAACTGAAATTACTGCTTTTCTGAATGATAGGCAGGAACCAAAAGAACCAACTTCCTCCTTGAATGTTGGAAGGAAGGTTGCAAAAAAACTTCTTTCTTTTTCTACTTGAATGCTTCTGAGTGGGGAACATATGGGGAAAGTACTATGCCTACCTTTTTCTGACATTTAATTATTTATTAACTAGGGGTTTTTTTTAGCCGAGAATGCACTGGGGGGGGGTGTTATTTATTGTATTATTTATTGTATAGTTTTAGTATTTATGTGTTGTGAGCTGCCCCAAGGCTTTGTTGCGATGGGACGGCATACAAATGTTTTAAATAAATAAATAAATTTAGTGCACAATTATCCCTTTAAAGTGTTGTGAAAGTTAGTCATTATAACATCGCAATATTCTTTTTAGAAACCTGAAGGGGAGAAATGTGAGGAGGCTAGAGCATAGAGGGATAAAGGACAGCACATCTACGTAGGGCTTGTTTGCAAAGCTGGTGCAAAACCATAGTTTGTCAAACAATATTGCAATTATCTTTTTTTCCCCTGATGCCTATAAGGACCACTTCACAATTTATAAAACCCTGCAGATTTCTTCCCTTCTTAATTAAAGATAAGAGATTGTACATTAGAGTGAACTAATGCTGGTGTCACAATGAGAATATGTTAGATCTACACAGGGGGACCTCCTGTGTGCGCCATCCCTTGGGGAGTTGAGAGGGATGGCTGCTAGGAGGAGGGTCTTTTCTGCAGCTGCTCCCCATATCTGGAATGCTCTCCCCAAGGAGATTTGCCTGGCACCTTCCCTATACTCTTTTTGGCACTAGGCAAAGACCTTCTTTTTTAAAAATATTTTAATAGTTAATTCCACTTGACTTTTGTTTTGGATTTTTGTCCATATTTATTGACACAGTATTTTACTCTTGCTACTCAAAGACACATTTCTTTTTTCTGCTCAGTTCTCACAACAACTGCCCAATCTTTGGAGTACAACAACTTAGAAAAAGTTAGAAAAGGTCCATGGTAAGCAGGCAGCTGATGAAATGAAGCCCTTCCAGTACCAGTACTATAGTACTGCAAAAGCATGTGGGATACAGGAAGGGAATAGCAAGAAAGGTGAGGGAAAAACGTTCAAGATATCAAGAAATAAACCATGTTTTTTCAATCTTCTGTCATACAAATCTTGAATAGGGCAATAAACATGACTTGAAAAAAACACCAATCAGCATAATGTACAAACACTGGACCTTTGGTCTCAAACTAGTCTCTGGTGAGCCAATCAATCAGTTTCTTTTCCAGAAGTCTCCCTTCCATTGTACTTCTAATTTTCAAGCCTTAATTTCAAACACCGGGCAGCCCCAATAACCATTAGTATTGTTGCTAACGTAGGGCAGCATACTGTATTGCCACTGTGCTTCTGCTACTTTTATTGAAGTAGCAAAATGGATCACCATCACAACAGGAACTAGGTTCCTAAAATAAGCATGGAAATGAGTGGCAGCTCTCATTCCCTGACTGGGTTAAGCCAGTGAAGCTCTGTTCTTTGAGTTCTACCATCCTGTCCCATTCCACAAATGAGTGTTGCTGTTCCTGTCCAGTCCCTAGACCCACTGGAACAGCTGGTCAATATTGTGGTAGCAGTGCTGCTTAACTGTGATTAAGGCAGGAAGAGCTGTAGAGAAGGATCACATCAACTTGCAACCAACTTCATAATCTTTCATGATAGCAAAGGTTGTACCTCTACTGTCCTAGAGAACTTATATAGAAGCTGCCATTTTTGGGGTGCGGGGAGAATTTTTCTCATCCAAAATATTTCTTAATAAACTTTGTTCTAGCTTGACGCTTTGGCAAAAATAATCTGGGCCAAGATTCAGATATAATGCAGTGAACCTGATGCCCAACACCCACCATTTTACTACAACGGTACCCTGGCACACAAACTTAATCCGTTCCATGACTCTGGTCGCGACCCAAATTGGTCATGAGCCAAGTCAAATTTCCCCATAAGGTTCAATGTAAACAAGGTTAATCCATTTTGTAAATATTTTTTTTAATCACAGGGAACATGGGCACAATCACGGGCACACTAGTGGGGGGGAGATGGGCATGACTGCAAGCACACTTGGGGGAGAGATCTCCCACCCCCTCAGCCCAACCGTGATCGCACCCATCTTCTCTGCAGGTGTGTGCCCATGATCGTCACTGATGCGGAGTTTGCGACCTAAGGAATTTTTTTTCCTAAATTTCTGTTCGCAACCCGATTTGGTCATGAACTGAGGTGTTTGTGAGCTGAGGTACCACTGTACTTTGTGTTTTAATCACTGGACAACAGGCTTTCATTGGAAACCCTTTTCTGAAGATTGAATTATGGCACACATTCACAAAACAATTAGCAAGGACTAACAAATGAAAACTAATCCTTATTCTACTCTGTTGGTGAGCTGTCATAATCATTCTTCTATTACTTCTATAATCAAGAAGAAAAAAATAAAGTATAATCATTCTGCTAACAGCATGCTGCTGTGTTAAATAAATTCACAACACACAACAACGTATCAAAATAGATGACAGCTTTGTACCTGACATAATTTAATCTAGAATGCTTTTGCACTCTCAGTCTTGATTGTTTTAACTGAGTATCAGAATGGCATATTAAATTTCTTTGGCTACATTCCCATGCTAGCTAAGTTTAGTGCATTCAAACCTCACTGAGTTGGGCTGGAATTGAAAATCCATGTTGATTCTCTTCAGGAAAAACCCATAAGCTAGCAAGTTTTTAAAAGCCTGCTTCACTGTCCCTTTGCTGTAAGGAAGTGAAGAACAAGTGCATTCAGGAAAGGGACAAACAACTTGCCAAATGTAGAACACTGTACAGAAGCACACTGACAAGACTACATTTCCGGAGACACAAGACAAGAGCAAGCACACTGACAAGACTACATTTCCGGATCAACAAGAACCTTAGCATTCAACAATAATGGCTGATGAAAGTACTATAAAGATGAAACCAACATCATAAGCAGGTATGATATATGCTTTATGATACAAATGTAAAAATAGAAAGGATTTATTATTCAGTTTTTTCATTAGCTGTTTTACTTCTGCTTTGTTTCCTTAACTTGTTTTTAATTTTTCAGAAGAGGAATGACTAAGATCCCTGAATAAAGGGGGATTAGGTGAGCAGTTTGGTGTGGAACAGAAATGTTTCCTTTCTGAATGGGAGCAGAGCCTTACATGTCACAATTTTAGTATACAAATTGTGTTATACATCAAGTAATAACAAAGGGCTAATAATAAATACACCATTTCCTTCTGGATGAACTTAATCCCAAATAACCATGTATTACAACATAGGAAATAAATCCTTAGATACATTTTTCTGGAGTAGCCTTTCTTACTTGATTGTAAGAGTCATGAGACTTTTTAGAAAAACTGGGTTTCTTGATTAATTCTTGGTTAATTCTTACACTGTCAGGCAGCTTTCCTTCTCTGAAATTGCTTTTAACTATAAGCGAACTACTCACAGAACATGAGTTCCTTTAAAACCTGCAGAGTGTTTCTTTAAATGTATAACAATTGCTCAAACGCAGTACTTACTCTAGTACATCCCGGTTAAACTGCTTTTGTCGATTTCCAAGAAACTCTCCAATCATCTGTCTGCTCAGTCCTTTTCTCTGTAGAAGGAAATGGGCAACTCCAACAGGTGTATCTGGCACAAAGCCCCTTTCAATTAGGTACTGGATTCCTTTTTCAGGTTTTCTAAGAGGGTAAAAAAGAAAAACAGAAATCCAAAATATCCCATTAGCTTTTTCTTCTACATCACATGTTATGGACAGAGGGAGATCAAGATGGCATTGAGACTCTTACAAATCAACATGAACACTTTTTAGTGCACAGTCCTAAGTCCTACACTATACACACATAAACGTCTAAACCTGGAGACTTCATGCATCCCATGCCTGGAACCAAGTGCAATGACAGTGATCTTTCCTTTGTCTGCATATTTTATCTAGATGGTCATTTTTGGCCATCTAGTCCAACTGCCATAGAGAGGGAAGAAAGGAGGCTGGGTTGCTCACTAAAATCAGCTGAAGTCCAGTACCCCAGGTTTCTTTCCTTCAATCCCCCGCCATGCTGCCCTTCCCTAGTATGTGCTTCTTTCTGTACTGACTGTGAGTGGGTGGAGGATCTTAGATCCTGGACTCTGAATACTTCTATGGGTGTCTGGCACCCTTAGTCTCTAATGGAAAGATGAAGATCATTGTTACAATGCCAAATCAACTATGTAAAAGCTCACAGTGGTTGTTCTAAAAACAGCAAACTATTTTTTCTTCACTCCCACAACTCGTAACAGCTTTGTTTCTACACCCATTTTACTCTCAGTAGTCTCCTTCTCTTTCCTTCCCTATGAGGAACCAGGCTGGATCATACCAAAAATACTCTGCCACCAAAAGTACATACCTAAATGTCTTGGGAAGTCCACATGCAAGGAATGAAGACATGGCCCCCTTGACTGATTTCAACATCTGGCAGATATATTGCCTTTAATTCTGGAGATTTTACTAGGCCCTGTACTGAATTTGTCTAATTCTTTTAAAAACTCATCAACACTTCTGATGATAGTGAATGGCAATTATGCATTGTGTGAAGTATTTCTTGCTCTTATTGGACCCAAAACAAGTGAGCACAAAACGGTGATGGCTCTCCTTACCCGCATACTCCTTTTATTGTAAAATCAGGATACCCTCCTGGCCATAGTTGAACAAATCTAGATAATCTCTGAGGTATCCAAGATATACCCAGGGGAATTGATGAGGGAGGGAGCCACAATTGTGCAGTCCCATTCTGATGTGCTAAGTAGAAGGCAAAGTCAAATGCATGTTCCAGTCAAAGTGATCCTCTAATTTACAGATCAGAAAAATTCAAATATACATTATAGAAAACAGTGTTTGCTGAAACTTACTACCATCACTGCTGACATATTAAGAGGATGATACTGCAAGACCATTGGGTATCTGAATGGCGTTTAAAGGGCTTTAAATTATATCTCTGTAGTGAGGATCACATATGTAATATATTTCATTTGAAACTATAATGAAAATAAAAATAGGTTTAATAGTTTCATTCCTTTTTCCATTTTCTACACATTTCTGAAAATGCAAATAGGTATCTAGCTTTGCAGATGAAGGATGCAGCTTTTTGTTCAAACAAGAGAAATCAATTTTCCAAGAACAAGGTGACCTTACTATTTTTAGACCAAGACAGTCATGTAACCACAATATGTCCTTCATGCAATTTATGGGAAATAATGTTACCAAATAGTCAGTCTAGCATGCTTATCCTGCTGCATTAAACTAGTAAAAATTTGATACTTAGGAAGAAGAAATACATTTCTCTTTTGAAAACTGCATTATCATCATGTTTTAAAATCAGCTATTTCTTTCCTCTGAACAGACAGAAGAAACACAGCTAGAAATCTACTTACTAATAAATAAAGTTGTTCTTGGAGGTCAACAGGATTTACAATTCGGATTCTTACTGTCTATCTGAACTCCTTAGTTATCTAACTTCAAAGTGGATGTGAGACTGTAATAAGCTTTGGTCCTATGGTTAAATTAATAGTCTGACTTAATGATGGATACAGAGATATGAAGACAGATGTCCAAAGTAGCATTTGTAGCAAAGAAATATATGGTCAAGCAGAAAGAAGAATACAAAAGGCAAGATCAATTCAGGAATAGGTATTCTCATTAACATAATTTTTAGGCTTTCAACGATTGCTGGTAAAATTGAATATATAAACAGGTGTTTCTACAGAATATGATTAATGCATATAATGGAAAATATGTACATTCTAGAATTATTGTAATGAAGAAAACAGGAGAATTAAATCCATAATCAAAGAAGATTGGTTAGCTAAAAGCTTATACGGGGGCTACTTTATGGCTTCCTGGCATTGTGTGGCAGGTTATAGATTTATTCGAAGACCCAGACCTGAGATCCTGCAAACTCACAGCTGGAACTCCAAAGGCCAAGTCACCACCCTGCTCCCCAGCAGCCAGTACAGAAAGTACCACACCAGCTGCCCCCACTTAAGGTCACAGCAAGACCTTGGAATGAGAAGAGGGCAGGAGGCTTGGTGACAGACTTGGTGCCCCAACATTCTCCTTCTGCCTAGAGACTAAATCTAGACAGCTTAAAATGGCTATCTAGAGAAAATTCACAATGCAGATGCATAGTAAAGCCATAATTTATTTTACTTTTCAAGTTTGAAGGTTTACATGGATCAAGCCTGTGGAGCATAGCTTGTGCCCTATCTCATGTTACTGAGGAACATGATGCAAATAGGTTGGTACATCCACAAGACAAGGTTATGTCCTGCCTTTATACTAAATGGCATTTTTAATATAATGTGTTCTACATTTTGTAGCACGGTATTCAGTGTGCATTGCTGCGCATTCCCACAAGTCTTTTTCACTGAATGTTAACTTCATATCTGAGCCTTAGCATTTTAATTGTTTTTAGTTGCTTTAAATTCTTTAAGGTTTCAACAGCTGTTTTTTTATAAAGGCAGTTTTTGTAAACAAAAATAGCAACAGAAACAAAAGAAGAATAAAATTACAGACCTTTCAACACATTTTGGAATTAAACAGTATAAGGGCCATTGTGGTATAATTGTTCAAAGTTTTTGAGAAAAGAAGAAAAACCTGTCCTCACCTCAAATGCTACAGAACTGAAATCCAGAAACAACCATGCAGGGATTATTTACAATAAAGAACAACAAACAGCAGGTGAAAGCTAGGTATGTGGACAAAACATCACCTGTATCTACAGATTCATGAATTCAAAATACTGATCTTCATTTTAATGAACAATCTCATTTCAAATTAAGATTTCCTTGGCAAACAGCTAAGTAAACAGCCAAATTCACTTCAGGTAAAACGGAGGAATTCTTCAAGTGCATGAACACGTCCCCCCAATCAGTTAATAAAATAGTCTAAGTTGTTTATGTAAAGCAATTACTATGCATATTACACCATAAGGCTGTTCCTTTTGCTATGTGCAATGGAAGTGACTTTGAACTTCCATTGCACACACAAAAAATGGAACATATCCATGATGTACCTTAAAGATAAAGATACTAAAAGACTAGGTAGAACAATGCCTTTGTTAAGACCAACTAAAATGTCACAAAGTTATGAACTATACTGAGTTCTTCAGATCCTCTATGCAGTGTAGATGTTAAGCAAAACAACTTGGAGGAAAAAAGTGCAAAAGCCTGCAATTTGTAACACTCTTAAGATGAAGTGCACAGGGTTTTAGGCAGCTTTAATTAGATTAGAATCTTTTAAGTGCATAAGAAAGGTCAAGTTTTACCAAGGGCTTCTGGGACAAAGAAGCCATACTGTATGTGTGTTATTTCTCTCTCAAAATCTGTTTAGGGAGTTTGTTATTGAAATCCTGAGAGGAGCCAAATGCTGAAAGAGTTGCGCACGGATGCCAGCTGTTTTCCTTGATTACATAGTGTTTATACTTGCTTTGTAATTCAAGATATTTTCACGTTCACACATGTGTGTTAGGTTTTAATGTTCCTCTCCTTTGGTTAGTATTATTCTTGACATGTTACAGGCTTGCCTTTCCCTCCTGCTCTGCCCACTACTAATAAACTGTCATAGTCTAAATAGTTGGAAGTCATCTGTCTGTGTTTTTCACTTGAGACAGTCTTAACTAAACAGAATTCCAGAGAAGGTAACTCCTGTCCTGCATAATTATAATCAGGGCATTACATGGCTGTGATATTTATTTTAAACTTGCATTCTGCAACCACTAGTCCAGTAGGGGTCTCTAGGCCAAGCAAACTCTTCCTTTTATACTTTGATCTACATTTCAGGATAATGTGTAGATATTCTGATTCACACTCCAGGGGTGCTTCCAGATAAGGTTTTTATCCTGCAGTTTCTTAAGCTCCTTTAGAAAAATTTACAAATGGTCAGGATTATGCCATTTTCCAACTGCAACACTTTCACTGCATTGCTTATCCTGTCTTTTGAATGAATCTGTTGAGCAATGAAGGAACGAGTAATCCCTTCATAATATTCAATGTTGTTTGAATAGTAGCACTAGGAACTTTCTACTTAGAATTCTGCTTAATCCTAATGTGGAGCTTTGTTATAGAGAATTCTATGCTCAGAAGCTCAGTACTCAATAGATCAGATATAAAGAGAAGCCCCACACCTGTACTTTTAAAACAGCTAGTATTTCACTGAACTGTATTGCCTGAAATGATTCATGCTAGAATTTTTTCTGACTTATTACAGATTTTTACGCTTTGTAAATGGAAAATAACAAGGTGTTTCTCTGTAATGTTGCTGTTGTGGAGTAATTGTCAAAATATCCTACATACTAAACTCTTACTAAGATGCCATTAACATTCATAAAAATTTATAACATAAATTTCTCGTATCTATATTTCTATATTATCTTGTATGTTTTGCAAAACAAATCTGGCGGATATTGGAAAGGCAGGTCTAGTTAAATGCTTTACATTAAAGGATTACAATGTTTATCCATGGATACATGGGTCTGGCAAACAGTAGGCACAGCTGAATACATGCCAAATGGACTTAGGGCACTATTCAATATATTTTAAGCCAGTTCCAATCTTTATTTGGAAATATGCCTACTTTGCCAATGGGAACTACTTCCAAGTAAATACACACTTATAGGTTTTACTTGAAGTGCCCTTCTGAGTTCAGTCTAAACGTACATATTCAACACCGCAAACATTCAAACATTGTTCTGCACATTTGGCACAAAAGCTGCCTATATATGGTGATGATTACCTTCCTCCCATATTACCACGAAATTGCACTCAACTGTAGAAATTTTAAAAAGAGTTTCCTTTAATTGAATTAATGAACAATTAATGAACACATAAATGCACAAAGAGTTACATAGCTCTTTTGCAAAGAACAGTTCAGATAGCAGGCAGCCCACTTTTGGCATGGAGAAATAAGGACCCAGCATTTGACTGGCTGGTATCAATGACTATCATTTCAGTTGTGAAAGCAGTTAACCTCACAGGTGAAGGAAAATGGAGCAACTTCTCTCCCTGTGCCTGTATTTACCAAGTGATGCAAAGGAAAGAAAAATCCCTTTTACAGTAACTCTTTTACTGTGAACATCACAGTTTGATGACAGATGAAGTTTTCCCAGCAGAATTCCTCAACCCTATCAAAATATTGGACTATTAAGTATATTAATTGCAAACTTTGTGGTGGTTCTACTCCTACCTGGCTGGCCAGGTCCAGAAGGTAGTCCTAGGGAACAGTTGTTCTGCCCCATGGCAGTTGCATCATGGGGTACTGCAGGGCTCAGTGCTGACCCTCATGCTGTTTAATTTCTGTACCAAGCCACTGGGAAAGGTCATCTAGAGGTTTGGGCTGATGACTCAGCAATATGATGATGATACACAGCCCTACCTCTCTTTTACATCTCACCCAGGTGAGGCTGTTGCCGTTCTAAACTGGGGCCTGAGCTTGATAATGGACCGGATGAAGGTCAAAAAACTGAGGCTCAATCCTGACAAGACGGAAGTGCTGCTGTAGGGGAGTGGTCATCTGACAGGTTGGAGGGACATTGCCCTGTCCTTGGTGGGTTGCATTCCTCCTAAGGAACAGGGTCTGCAGTCTAGGGGTGCTCCTGGACCTGGGTTTGTCCCTGGAATATCAGGTGTGCTTGGTGTCCAGGGGTGCTTTCCTCCAGCTGTGGAGGATATACCAGCTTCATCCCTACCTGGACAGACAGACCTTGAAAACCGTCACCCATGCAGTGGTAACATGCAAAATAGCTTACAGCAATGGGGCGGCCCTTGAAGATGGTCCAGCAATTAGAATTGGTCCAGAATAGGACCACTCAGTTGGTGACGGGAGCCCCTAGAGCAGCCCATGTAACACCTATACTGAAAGATCGCCATTGGTTACCAACTGAGGCCCAGACCCAATTCAAGGTGCTTGTGCTGACAAATTAAGTCCTAAACAGCTTAGACCCCAGTTATCTTAAGAATGCCTGTGTCCATACGTGCCCTCCCAGCCTTTGAGATCAATGCGGGGGCTCTCCTGTGTGAGGGAGGGGGATGGCTACTAGGAAAAGGGATTTTTCTGCAGCTGCTCCCCATATTTGGAATGCTTTCCCCAAGGAGATTTGCCTGGCACCTTCCTTATATTATTATTGGTACCAGGAAAAGACCTTCCCTTTTAAAGAATATTTTAATAGTTAATGACACTTGACTTTTGTTTTGTATTCTTGACCATGTTTTATTGATATTCTATTTTGAATATGTTGTAGTTGGTTTTTATTGTTATTGTGAGACACTCAGAGGTGCTGTAGCACAATTGGGCAGCATACAAATGTTATAAATAAAGTAAAGTAAAGCACAGCTTCCTCAAAAATATCTATAACAAACATCCATTTTTACAAAAATGCATCTTCCCTCAAATGTTATAGTATTTGTCTATAGCCAGGAAGGCTGTCATTCAATTGAAGATAACTGATTCAAAAAGTTGTATGCATTTTAGTTGTTTAACTAAAATCATTTGCATTAACACATACTTTATGTTAAACTTGTGAATGGATATCATGTAGTGGGGATTATCTTGCAACAGCCCGTTTTTGTTTAAAGCAATGTAAAAGTAAACAACCAAAAAGTTGAACAAACTTGAATTTAATTTAAGGGAATATTTAACCAAACTGAAAAGTACAGAAGCCTTCTGAATGTTTTAAAGCAGGCAATACTTCAATAATTTATTTTTGGTCAATCTAAAACCTATCTTCATCGTTAATAGAGATGGTTTGAATTTAATATCAGGTCTTAAATATTTAAAGTGCTACAGCCAGGATATTCCTCAATGAACAGAATTGTGCTGCTGGATAAAAACAATACTGATTTTGTTTGCAATTATATTTAAACTATACAATTATAAGGCATTGCAAACAGGAATTATCTCCACAAATACCTCTATTTTATCAGAGAATTTTAAAGCTAAAATACAGATTGTTTCATGAGAAGTCAAACTTGTAAGATAAATTTGGGAAAGGACTGTCTTACATGTTATGACAAACCATGCAGTGTTCTTTTGTAAGGGTGTTCATGCCAACACATTCTCCCTTCCCTAGAACGCTTCAATTCTTTCCCTGAATTCTGGTTTCAGGTAAGCCATAGTTTAACCATTATAACCATGTAAGTTTGCACTTCTCCTCCAAACTAGAATAGGAAACCTGTGTTTTCCAATTGTGGTTTGGAAGGTTAGTACCAACAATAATTTTGTGATTCAGAAGCAAGACTAGATCATGGTTTTCCAAAAGTGCGAACGTAACTGGATGAAGCATCACAGAACCTGAAAGCCCACTCATACAATACCAAGCTATTGTTAGTGATGCACGTGAACAAGATCCCAGAAAATATATTTGCTGTCTAATTACAATAGGCTAAATTTACAATTGTTCTAAATATTCAACCCTTGATCCATTACAGCGTATTGCTACTTCCTTTCAGCTATACAGGCAACATGATTGCAGCTGTGCTAACACCATCAGTTCTGCTATGACTACAAAAGCAATTGCAACAGTTCTGAGCCATGTTAAAAGTGCCATGACTTTTGAATTTTGACAAGAAGCTACTGTAATAGCTCTCAGAAATCACATCATCTGTTTTTACATGGATCCCAGGTCATACAATCTCAAAATGCTAGGTATTCCCTGAAAATGTTGGCACGTTGGTGCTCAGGCAGGATGGACTCCACTATACTACATGGTACAGCAGAAGAGCAGAGTATGTCTTTATTTAGTTCCAACAGTATGCTAAGTCCTTTACGGAACACATTGAGACAACTGAAGGGTAAACAAGAATGTGCTAGTGAACAGAATTAAAACTGTCTTACTACCAGATCACGCAAGTTTGATTAGATCTTACTTTTGTACTAGTCTACTGCAAGGCTAAAAACATATGGATTTTTAAAAACCACTATTTATTACCTTCTGTCATCTGTACTGGTTCCATGCTATCTCAAGAAAAGAAATTATAAATTTAAATTAGGCAATGTTTATATCTTGTGTGACATAGAAAATAAAGTGGGACGTATAAAGTGAAATGGATATTCTGACCATTCCTGTATCTGAAATATTAATCTGGCTCAGACAAAACTGAATAAATTGAACGCCACGCTCAGTGTTAAAACCATTACACTCATATGGTAATAGCCAGTTTAAGAACTCAGTAGGGAAAGCACTGTGAGTTAGGTCTCAAGGATGTTAAAGCAGTCCCTGTGAAAAGCAAGTGATTTGTTTTGTCCTAAAGTATGTGCACATACAATGGGCGGTGCACGTTACTGTAGTAACTGCTAATACTATAAAAAGTATAATTGACTATTTTTCATAAGAAGTGCAGGATATAAATACAATCAGTCAATCAGTATCAATGGTGTGTGAGAACAGTAAAGCAGAGACAGATGGCATAAGTGACCTTCCTTTTTAATTTTTCTTATTGCTTTTTGATGCTACACATTGCCAGCTTCCATGAATAAGCTTTCCTTTCTTTTTGTGTCCTTCAAATTTCTGAATCAGGACCTTTTATTATTGAAAAATAGTGTTATGGGGTTGGAGAAAGAGAGAGAGAGAGAGGGAGAAAGAGGGACAGGGGGAGAGAGAGCACTTGCTCAACCAATATGTACAACATAAGAATACAAACAGTGACATGACAATTGTACAGGAGGAAGAGAAACAGGGAGTGTGAATATGCTGACTTCAGAAAAAAGATACACAAATGTCTGTGTTCATATTAACTTCTCAGTGGGACTGCAATCAGTATTAGTTATCCTACGATTTAGAGATAAATTACTTCTCTATGAAGAAAAAATAAGTAAACACTTCATAAACTCCATTAGAGGATACACCACAAAAAGTACTATACTCACTTATTAAAAAGATTCAGTCCAATCCTATAGTGACGTTTCCTGATGATGTCATTACTGAAGGCAGGAGAGTCCCAGCTATTACGAGTCTCTTTGTGGTATGTTTGCTTACTCAAGGTTTGTTCCCTTAGGCTGTCTCGAGAAGAAGATTCTGAGCTGCAATTTATTGTGTCATTGGAATTAGAAGTGCTATTGATGCTGTCATTGTCTCCATCAGAGTAATCAGACTCAGATTTGCTTTGCCTGTTTGCTGTGCCATTAATGGCTAAGTGGCTATCAATAGGCCTTGGTCTATGTCTAGTCTCCTGGTCTTCTCGGGATATTATCTTGGTAGGAATGCCATGTGAGATATGTTTTGGGCTACCTTGCTGACTAGTAATTCCTCGGTCATATGCATTCTGTCTTTTTAATGAACCTCTTTCTGAACGATCACTTAAGTCCACTGAACTGTCACTTGGTGGTTCTATGGTCAGTAAAGGCAGATGATCCATTCTCATTCTTTGCTCCTGGGATTCGAGTGAAGGGGTACTCCTGCAGCTTGTGTCAGTGTCTATCTTATGATCCTTGTGTGTCATGGACCAGTACTCTTGAGATGGGTTGATTGACCGAAGCCTTCGGTCAGATTCTGTGCTAGATGGCCTATCTACAGACTGGGAAAGGGGCAGTGGAGGGGATAGTTCTTCCTCATCAATATACAATGTAACATCACTATAAGATGCCGTCATTTCATCCAGTTTCCTATGATCCACAGTATGGCTTGTAGGTTTAGTTTGACCACAACTGTCCCTTTCTATTTCCCGACTTCTGACTTGATCAGATATCTGTACTTCATCAGAGTGCAGACTACGACAGTTTAGTGCATCATCAATAGACTCTGCAAGAGATTTTACTTGTCTTGAAAAAGCATCCTCCAGTTCTGTTATGGCATCAGCAAAATCAGTGGATGCAGCTGGAGATTTCATTGTAGCTGATTCACCAAGATCACTACATTCAGATTGGACAAGGGCTCCTAATTTTGATCCGTCATTTGTAACAGAAACTTGCTTCCCTTCAAAGTAGGAACTATGGACTTTCTCAGGTCCTTCAAACGAAAACTGCATTCTCATATTGGACAGTACAATTCGTCTTGACATACGATTTTCAGACATAGAACTTCTAAGCCGCTCAAAGTTTTTGTTCATCTGATACTGACGGAAAGCAGTCTGTATAGTACGAGCAGCATGCCTAGTTATGAGACGGCCTCCATATTTCCGTTCTAGCATTTCAACCTAAATAAATAAATACATACATACATAAATATTTTATAATATGCTGAAAGGCTTATTTCATGCCTACTGTGGTATGATATTGACCAATGAGAATATTACAACTGTCACAGAGGAAAAAAATCTGCTAGAAATTAATATCTACAAAGATTTTTGAGATGCCAATATACTAAGCATGTAAAGTAGATTGTATTTCAATGAAAATTAACTGTACATAAAATTAGATTATCCACTTAGAAGATACCTTTCACAATTGTCACAAATACATTTATGAAGTAGAGGGGGTATAACTTATCTCTCTATTAAATGTATTTTCAAATAAAAAATAATCAAACATGGAAGAAGTTTTAAAACATTGCCATCAAGCACTAAAGATCTAGAGAAGAATTAAATGAATGCTCAGGAACTTCATTAAATTAATATCAAATTGACTCTCTTTTACTATCTACTGACATTACTGGTTTTGTGCTACCAGGAAAGCATAACATGATCAACCTCAGGCTATGCACAAAGAGATCCAAAGACTTGGAGTATCCTGCTCAAAAGGGATCACTTTCATTTATACTGCTTTTCTTTCCTCACACTTAGTTTCTTGTGGAGATCTATTCCACTTCCAACAATCTTCTTCTATTCATTGATATATTTTTTTAAAAAAATAGTACTTAAGAGGTAGGGGGTTGATTCTGTGTACATAGATATGTAAAGGAACAATGGGATTAAGGTCTTTTTCTCAACTCTGTATGTTTATTTTATGACATTTTTGCTGTGAAGAGGCATATGATCTCTGCAGACACAAATTTCCAGTTTTGAGAACTGCAAAAGCAAACATCTGTGATAATATCTTCTAGACAGAAAATCTGCCCAATAATCTTACAAACACCTCTGGAAGAGAGAGTATGACACTATGAATGGGATTCATTTACCAACAAATTTAAATATTTCATGAATATACAGCCTCAGACTACATAATTAAAAATGAATCCTTATTGCATGATGGATAATATTTTGACTACAACGTATCATAAAAAGGAAACTATCTTTAGATATAGTTTTCTGCAAAAAACATTTTAATTTTTTAAAGCCAATTTAAAAATTCATTTTTTATTTTAAAAAAATCATTGTTTTTATCTAACCTGTCTGTGATTAATTTGAGCCTCACTGACTGTCAACTTTTCAATAGAAAGGTGGGACACTAAATAAATAGATAAATAAATACATAAATAAAAATTACCTTTAAAAACTATATATGAATTTGAAACATGTTCAGACACATTGGAATTCACATTGGATTTAGCCAGGTTGAGGGCCTTTTATAATGCTAGTTATAAATACTGATAATGCTAGTTATAATACTGAATTCATTATCCTTAAATTAAATTACAAATGTCTATCTGCAGTGTTATCAATGATATATGTTATAGATCAGTGTTTAATAAAATAAGAAATAGCAATATATTTGTCTTTGGAACATTATTCAATCAATTCCTTTCCAGTTTTTGTCCTTATGAATATATTTACTGATGATATTCAATAATCAAACTTACTCCCTCAAATTTTATTTCTGTTAAGTATTATAAAACTTGTCCATTTCATAGATGTCCCAAGGAAATTTAACAACTGTTGTTACAACCTATAATTCTATATTTTTCCCTAAGAAACTAGTGTTTATTTTTAATTATGAAAATTATTAGTGATGTTAATTGTATCCATTGCTCCTTATTTTTATCCATTAAATTTTTAGAAACATTTGATAAAGGCGATGTAAATGAGATACTAATATTAGAACATTAAGTTATTTGTGTATTGGTTATCCTTGATATATTTCAAAAATATGATTTTGATGTTTCATTCAAAGTTATTTAATTTAATTTAAGCATTTTTAAACTAGAATACTCATTGTTATCATTCCATTATATATTGCTTCCTATTAAGCATCACCAATATTCTAGTATGCTTAGTAAACCAAGCTGATTTTCAATTCATGGTAAAGAGATCATGACTATATTATAAACCCAAGTGGTTCTCTTCTTCTACTACAAGAATCTCTGCTTTCCTTCCATGGGGCAGTATTATATTTGCACACATTAATGCTAATTAGATAATACAGAAGCCATGGAAATAGTTTGTTTTGTATTAACCAAACACTCTTAGTTTTAAATGTCATATTCTTAAATTAAAATCCAGCATAATTTCACAAGTTAAACAATGAATCATATATACAAAATCCTAACACAGTTATTGGGAAGTCACTGGTTCTTTCCTTAAACAAAAAGGTTTTCTTTCTCTCTGTGTTTTTGCAATAATATTAACTGCTGTCTCCTGGAAACCACAACAGAGAAACCACAATACTATTCAAATGCTCAAAATTAGGTAACTAAGAATCTCATGAACAAATGTATTATTTCCAGGAATGTCTGTATAACGAGTCCATTTCTTTTCCCTAACAGTTTTGCCTGATTTATACAAGAATACAACTCAAATACCTGTTTATCTTGCAAGTCAGATGAGAGTTCATAGCTCTCCGAAAGGGACCTTGACCTTTTAATAGCTTCTTCTTCTGCTTGTTTCCTTAGTATGGATGTTGAGTGCTGAAGCTTTGGCCTTCGAGGCCTTTGCTGTCCAGGAGAGACAGAATAGAGCCCGTATGGAGAATGGTCGTAATGGTCTGGACTGATAGCAGAACTGTGAGTTATAGTTCCTTGATGATAGTTAGATGGACTATCCAATGACGTGCCAGTTTCACTTCCAGGAGCTTCTCCTTCAACACTAAATGAAAAGAGAAAGAATAGCAATGCAATTAAAATCTCAGTATATTAAGATTCATTCACAATTAATTGATACTGAATTCCTATTTGTACTGATCATTCATTATACTTTGTTGTTTAAGGAATCTGTAAATGATCAAATTCAACACCTATTGAAACATTTATAAAATGTAGGTATATTACAATGCAGCATGAAAAAGAAAATGAAAGCAGAGTTTATGTCTTTGTGGCAAGTAACAACAATTTTAGTAGTTAATATAATCCTTAGTAATCATTTCTGAGTAATGATACTGATGTGTCTCTAAAGAAAGATGTATTACATCATTCTAAAGAGAAACAGTCAGCTACTAATGTGTATTTCTTCAATAAAATTAACTGTGAAAAGAAAATTATTACTAAGAGCCAGTGTGATGTAGTAGTTAAAAGTGGGGGACAGGAGATCTTGGTTCTAGTTCCCACTCAAACTGGATGACTTTTGGCTAGTCACAGACTCTCAACCCATCCTACTTCACAGGGTTGTTGTTTTGAGGATAAGATTAAGAGGAATAGGAGAATTATACAAGCTGCCCTGACTCTCTTGAAAGAAAAAAAAGGTAGGATATAAATAATCCAAGTGCTAACCAGTCCCAACCCTGCTTAGCTTCCAAGATCAGATGAGATCTGTTTTTTAGGGTGTTATGGCCATAGCCAGATAGAAATATAATAAATAAACTTAATATTTAAATATGATTTTTCCTTTTCTTCTAAACATATGAGATTAATTCCTAAACAATCACATACTTCTTTTATGCAAAGGATTGTGCAGCTTTATAGAGAGAGAGTATTCTTATATAAGGTTCTTCCTCTTTCAAAAAGCAATGTACACAACTACATCCAACTACACATGTACACAAAGCACCTGCAATTTATTTGGTGACAACATCTATCAGCTATTTTGGACAAAGATGAAAGGCTGAAGCTAAATCTACCTACCCTCTGAACACTAAAGCGAATTATGTGTGTACACATGCAGCCTGGAAACAGCAATGGATCACCATTGAAGTGCTGCACCCATTTGTACACACAGGCCCTTATCTAATTTTAAATCAGCCCATGTACTCTATCTGGATCAGAAGTACATTCCCCTACCATTAACAAGTACTATTATTGTTATTATATGTACACATAGGCATATAATATATTCATTCAAGTTCAATATTTTAATATATAAATTTCATTAATTTTCTTTGATATGAATATCACTTTGTTGCCAAATTCCATTTTGACCAATAACCTGCTAATTTCAATATTATATAAAGTATTGAAAAATTATATTCTCTGCTTTCCTTTAGAACACCAACTTTTTCTTTTTTTCAATGTCCTTTCTGTCACCGTTCAGAATCAGGACCACTAGGAGTCTTTACCCTTGCAAAAGAACTCCCTTGTTTTGTTGCTGCAGTTTATTTTTCTCCTGGTACTTTCATATGGTTTATAACCATTTTATCTAAACACAAAGGTTCCTGCTATTGAAATTAAAAACTCTTGTTCCTGTTGCTATATGAATACTTCACCACTCCCTTCTGCAGTTCAAAGTACAAAACACTCTGCAGAAATACTAAGCGGTGGATTTCAATGTCAAAATGGACAAATACTGTGAAATATCCTCTGATTTTCTATAGGTATTTTCAAACATTCTATCATTACTGATGGTCAATTAAAGCCATTTCTACTTTGTCCTTACAGAGCCTCAAAGTAGTTTCCATGCCTACATTATGACTACTAGAATTTAATGAAGAACTAAAAATCTTTCATTAAAAATCAATTTGAATGGAAGTTGGAAATCTTTCTATTAAACAATACATAAGCATTTAAAAGAAAAAGAATCCCTCTTCTCATTGTTTTGTAAATGTTGAAATGATCAAATCTAATTATATAATTAATTGCCTTAATTATATATGACTGCTTATTCTTTCAGTCTTCTTTGAGAAAACTCCCTTAGTCTACTGTAATTCAAACTTTTCTTTCACTGTTCTGTACAATTTGCAATGTGTGCTTTTACACATTGAAGGCAGCCACTGAATTGTGTATCTAACAGATCTTATTTTGCTCAAAAACTCATTCTTTGTCTGACCTTTGTAACTGTTGGGAAATCGTTGTCTTTTACAGCATGCACAACGCATGAGATTTTTTCCCTTTTACTTTCTTTTTAACATATGAGTAAGCAATATCTGTATTACCTACCTAATTTCTTATCTCTCTTTTAAAAATTTGCAATTTAAATTAGCAAATGAAACACCTACTTCTAATTAACTCTTTAAAAGATGCAGTCACCACAACAAACTTTTTAATGAATGTGATTACTATACATACTGTACCTATTGTACTGTATGTGCAAGTGTATTTTTATTGCTTTATGTGTAATGGATATATTGAAGAAAACATCTTTTTCACAAAATGAACAGTGCATTATAAAAACACACAGGTTTTCTTACATCCCTGATTATGGGTAGTGACTTGGAACACTGGACTTTCACCAGCCTGTTGTTTAATGCTCACATTTTTAACATGCACACAGAAATTCTGTTCCTTTAAAGAAAGCTTCTCATCCTCAGTGTCCATGAAGAATAAAGAGGAAATTTCCTGCAGAGCAACATCCCTTTGATTAGACACTGTCCTGTCTTCAAAAACATAGGTCATTCAAAGTCTCCAGCTGAGAATGGATGGCAATATCCAACTCCAGTGCAAATTATATATTTGAAGCATTCTTTTAACATCTGAACCATCCTATTCTTCATACCCACTTTCCTCAACCAAGACACTGAAATCAGATAACCAAAGTAAAATCATATAACCTTTGGCCAAATTCAACACCCCTAATCTAGGGGGACCAAGACAGTTTCTGCTCTGAAATCAAGTGAAAAGGCAGACCTTAAAAGGTCTCTGATCAGTTTCATCTTGACACCCTGCTCCCAAATCTTCCTTCATTATCATAGGCACAAACTACCTTCCTTGATTTCTAAAGACTATGCTTGCTTGCAAGTAATCCAAATGTATTACATACTCTATCCACCATTTCCTTTCAATCAGGAATATATCAACTGAAGCAACATATTCGCAAACAAGATCAGAAAGACAAAGAGTCATCTAATCATGGAAGATGCATCTCCAACTGCCACAAATAACAACAAGTATAACCACTCTTTTCTGTTCAAACAAAGCCACCAATATGTAAACAGTGGCTGATTAAAAATAAAGCTTGTCAGATGATCCACCTTGTGAACTGAAGATGTGAGTACCATACATCCAGGCTACCAAACTGCCTATTGCATATGGGATAAATAAGTTAAATTATTCTCTCAAAAATAAATTTCTACTTGTTTAGGACCTGTTTCACACAATCACTGGCGCTTAAACCCACAGCCTGTTGTTTGAGGGTTATTTCCCCTTTGAACAAGCCATGCTGTCTGGGTTCAGATGACCCAACACACTGCACCCAGGCAGATAATTAGGCAAATGATGTCCAGGATTCACCTTCATTTAGAGAAGCCACCATAGCTTGCTTAAAACATGTTGATTATGCAAACCATGCCGGTAGTAAATATGTAAAAGAAGTTAAATGTTGCTCATAAGTCTAGTTTTTTTTCCCTACACACTAAACTGGGTTTAGATCTCATTTTCTGCCTGCTCTTCAGATTGGACTGATCTTCCTTCATGCTAGATCCTATAAATAATACCAAAAAGAGAAAAGAGCAGCTATTTTAAAATGCTATTTATTATGCATACTACTTACATTAGTGTAAGCAGGATACAAGCATCCATTCAATTTTAAAATAGCTCTAACATGCTATGTTTAAAGTATAACCGTGCATAAAGATCACTAATACAAAATTATATTCAAACTAATAAACTCAATGCTTTTCAGAGTTAAGTCACCCAAATCTGCAGCCCTCCAAGTCTGTTTCTTGGCAAATTTCAAAGTGCAGGTAATGATTTAGAAAGCCCTACATGACTGAGGACCAGTCTGCCTCAAAGAGTATTCTACCATATAAACTTGCGTGGACTAAAGAACTGCAAAGGACTTTTTCTCAGAGCTACCACCAAGAGGCATATTTGGTGGCAAAACAAGGAAAGGCCTTTTCAGTGGTGGCCCACAGGGTTCCTCCTAAAGGAGTCTAGATTAGTTCCTCCTCTGTGGCTGGGTGAAAGTGGGCTTCATGGCTGAGCATGGAATGGAATCTGGATCTCCTGAGCCTCAGTCCAACATTCTAGCTACTATACCATACTGGCTAAAACCCAGTTTTTATTGAGTTTTATTGCTGTTAACCAATTTCAGTAACATTATTTTGACAGAAAGGCAGGGAATGAATGAATGAAAATAAGAGGAAATTTGCAGGAATCAGATCAATGGTTTATTCTATCTGGCATCCTTCTTTTGGCTCTGGCAAACTATCTGCATCTAATTTCCTTAATTTCTTCCCTCCATTGTAGCTTCCCACACACCACATACCAGGCCTTTGAGGATGTCCCATCCTGAAAAGAGACTATTAGAGGGAGACAAGAGCTACAACGGGGAAAGAATGGACAAACAAGTCACACGTATGTAATCCTTAAATACAACCCAATGTGATTTGTAAAATGGCAGTGGAATGGTTATGAATCTCTATTTTAGTAATAGATAATAATTAGCTCCCTCCTAACTCAGCAGTTTATTGCATCAATGTAAGGCCTTTCCAAATGTTTAGGATCTTGTATTCTGCACTGAATTCCCTGCACTGTTCGGTTTCCTCCTGAATCAAAGCAGTTTCATACCATCCATACTTTAACAGAAATTACTGACCCTGACAGACACTGATGAGATGAGACTTCAAAAGAGAAATCTTAGCAGAGATAACAGATGCATACACATAATGCAAAAAACACACTTCTAAAGTCTTGAATGCTGCAGAAGCTTCAGCATTCAGTGAAAACAATTAAGGATGCAAGTTTAGACAGAAAAAAGTCCTACAGCTCCAGCTTGCTGAA